CGGGTTTCTGGACCTAGCACAATTCTCTTGCTTGAGAGAAGAAAGGAGACTTTATTTTGTTTCTCTTTGAAAGCTCTGTTCATCCGCATGTTGGTAGCATTGAATTAAGGAACCCGCTTCGATCCTGCTTGGCCAGATGGCTGCATTATTAGAAGCTGCTAAAAGAAGGAATTGGCTTCCTTGGAGAACAAAGTATGTACTTGCTCATATTCACAAATCAAACGCCCAGAATTTGAGGCACTTTGACAGCATGTTTCTGGTAATGTTTTGCTACTGCATCTCTTAAGAATGATTTCGTGGAGAGGGTTTAGCTGAACTCCAGAGAGCTGGGCGGGGGGAACAGCAGAGGAGATCCATGATCTAGTCATCTCCGAATCATGGCCATGCCTGGTGCAACCGAGCAAAACACCCATGCCATCTTCAGCACTGCTGGCTTGCTCAAACCTACTGCCATAATCACTGTGTTTTCCATGCCATCCACCGTGCAGGGTTCATCTGCCAACACCTTATCAGACCCTGTTCTATTGTAACAGCGAGTATTTTTAATTGGTTGATATCTAGAAGTATAATGCCAGGCCTTCCTTATTTATCTATCTTAATCCGGAACCTCTACTGAAACTTGTCCACTGTGGTATGTGGAATACAGGCGTTACAGCCCCCAACATCGTAGCAACATGCAAGCCACCCCAATATGACAAAATGACAGAGCAGTAGTGGATTTGTCCGTATTGAATACACAATACAACGGTGTTTCAGACTTTCTTCTGAAGAGTGGGTGCCCTGGTGGCACTGTGTTTACATGTTGGGCTGCTAACCACAAGGTCAGCTCTCCAGCTTGCCAGTTAATTTGTGGGAGAAAGATGAGGCTCTCTGCTCCCATAAGATTACGGTCTTAGAAACCCACAGGGGCGGTCTGACCCCCTCCAATAGGGTCACTATGAGTTGGCATTCACTTGATGGCCGTGAGTGATCTCAAGAGCCCAAGATGTGGACAAAAATCAATACATGACAAAGTAAAATGACCCACTTGTAATATGAGTTTTATACTGACCACCATACTGTGTTCTTTTTCAGCTCTCAATTTAAAACACGAATGGGATTTTTGTTTCTGATTTTAGATCTGTAATACTGCACTACAAATATAAAGATTTAGCATCTTGGAAACTCAACAGAATAGTCCTACTCTGTTCAGTTCTCTCACAAAATTTGATAAAGATTCCAAAACCCATTGTTAAGTTACTTTATTTTTCTTACTTCTTGCTTAGGTTTTCATTCTAGCCCACATGATGAGCAAGCTTAAGCTCTTGACTACTGTCAGTTGACTGGGGATTTGAACCCACTCAGAGGTGCCTCTGAAGGAAGGCCTGGTGATCTTGAAAACCGTGATGAGTAGTTCTCTTCTGCACCTCAGGAGACAGCAACTATCAACAACAAAATTAGCCGCTTCCTCCGACTCAAATCTCTCTCGTTTGCCATGAGTTGATGCCAACTCAGTGACCCTGTAGGACAAGGGAGAACTTCCCCAGTGAATTGTAAAGATTGTAACTCTTTACGGGAATAGAAAGCCAAGTCTTTCTCCCATGGAGTCACTGGTGGTTTCAAACTCCCGACCTTGCAGTTAGCAGCCCAACATGTAACCGCTACGCGCCCTAACCCTTCACAAAAATGTGCTTTCTGTCAATAGCTGAAGAAATGCCACAGCAAATTTTTATGTTTCAAGTTTCCTTTCATTGTGAGAAGGGATGGTAAGTAACAAATAATTGAGATGATTGGCTAACCTGTAGTGTTACAGAGATAAGAAAAATATAGCCTGTTGCCAGTGGGCCTTCAAATGTCTACTATGTATACGGGTTGCTGGATAATGTTGTGTTAGACACTGTAGACACGGAAATCATAAAGTGGCATTATTTCCCCAAGTGATACTTACTTCTACTATGATCTTTATTTTAGAATTGCGAGAGTGACTGTAGGTCAACATTGGGGCGTAGACCCAAAAATTAACTTTGTGAAGCAAGCGAGGAAAGACGTTAGGTTCTCCTCTCTGTGGTCATGTGGCCTTTCCATGTGGGTGGCCATCTGTAGAGAATCTAACAAGAGCATCCGCAGACACCAAACAGAGTCTGTTTGATCTGAAGAGAAAGGTGTTTCCGTTCCAAGGAAAACATGAACATGTGTTACATGGTCCTGTGACCAATTCATGGCTCTCAACCTTTCCTATTAATTTCATTTTCATTGTGGTGAAATATATACAACAAAACATTTGCCATTACAATCGCTCTTATACATGCGAGTCATTGCCATCCATTGTATTCACTGTATTGTGCATGGATCATCACCCCGAGCTGTTTCCACCTTTTTTCCATCATCCGTAATTAAGTGATGCTGGAACAGGTAGTATTTCATTCTGTTGGACATCGGGTCAATTAGAGTTGGAACTCATTCAACAACATCTAACAACAACAAACTGTGCAATTTCAGAAGTATCGCCCACAAGAAACACACACACACACACACACACATGTGCACACGCACCATCTTTTCCTCCTCCCTCTTGCCACAGATAGTCACCAATGGACTGGTCTCTGTGAATTTGCCTCTTCTGGATAATTCCTGTGAAGTGGGCTCATTCAGTATTTCACCTTTTGTGTCTGACTTTTTTATATCTGGCATTCCACTCAAAGTCTGGTTGGAAGCAACAGTGTCATGTTGGTAACTAGACGCTGAGATGTGAAGGTGTGAGACGAGAGATGGCATCCCCAGGTAAGTATGTTCTACTTTTCCCAGGGCCAGAAATATGTAGATCTGGGAGAGGAAGCGAGATCTAAGGGTCAGAAGCTGGTCTGGGACAAATACTTCCAGTCATCAGATGTGTGAATGCAGGAATGCCTCCTCACTGATGCTCAGTCACACAGAGGTTCTCTCTTGGGGGAAGTGTATCTGAATAATGCAATATTGAAAACTATGAATATGTCATGTATTTTTCCTCTTTTGCTAAATTCATGTACTTGTAAGTCCACAGATCTGTAACGGCACCATAAGCAATGAGTAAACCACATGAAATCTTACTCTAAAATATGATACAGCAGTTTTCACCATATTTTACCACTGCCAAAATATATGCTATAATCAGTGAAAATTTATGAATTTTAAAAAATTTACAGACAGATTGAAGAAAGAGTGAACTATCTTGGTGTAAATTGTCTATTAAAAACATACTACCAAAGGGTTATCATGTGATCTGCCAGAGAATATTAACCATAACTGTAAGGGAGTGTAGCATGGAGGCATATTGAACACTTGGCTTGGTAAACATTTTTCTGAAAGGGTCATGTTGTATTTGTCACATGCCTTAAATCTGAGATTTGTTTCACTCTCTTCTCTTCCTGGGAATAAATGTTCATGTTCAAGTTTAATTTCAAGTTTTTAATTCTGTTACTCATTTTCTTAGAGAACCCAAAACAAAAAACAACACCTCACTGCCATTGAGTAGATTCTGACTCATAGTGACCCGGCAAGACAGGGTAGAGCTGTGGGTTTCTAAATCTGTAACTCTTTATGGAAGTAGAAAGCCCAATTTTTCTCCTTCTCATAGAGAAGATCTCCAAAAACTGTATTCATATGAGGTCCTATAATACTTGGATTGAGCTTCTCATACATTCAAGATAAGAATAGATATCCACGCTGAGCACAAAAGGACAGAGTTGTTTACTCCCTCGCTTTGGGTCTCTTCTGCATCCAGCTGGCAAGTGCAGAAGGCTGCCTCAAAATGCAAGAGCTTTACATTCAGTCCAATGGGAAAGACATGTGCCTTTATCCTCTGAGAACTAAGGATGGTAGAGGAAGGAAGATTGATCATGCCTGCCTTTCTTTGGTCTCGCTATCTTGTCCTCTCTCATGGTGGTAGATCGAGAAGAGCCCCGTGGTTCCAGCGGGAAGATAATGCACCTTTCTTGGAGGTGCATGGCAACCCATTTCATCAGCTCCATAACTGAGTTCTAATGGATTTTGAGCCAGGTTTCCAGGGGCATAATTTCGACGTGGTGTTAGATACCGAGTTGCTGCCACCACCATCTGAATCGTGCCAAACTCTTCTAACTCATGACACTGCCTGCAGAGCTATTGGGCCCCATGTTCAATAACTGTGAAGGTCAAAATCCCTGATTCCTTCCTGTGTATCCATCTTACTAACCCAAAGAGGAGCGCCTCCAAGGCAGGGGTGGCTTATCTTTGTTCGTCCCATCAAGATAATCTTATCAGATAAGATTGCTGGTTGTATGGGACTGACGGGGCTGATGACTCCTATCCCTCCTTTGTACACTGACTCTAAGACAAGCTGGTGGCATAATGGGTTACCCCTGGGGTTTCTGACTGCAAGGTCAACAGTTTGAACCCAGCAGCCTACCCCACAGGAGAAAAATGAGTCTGTCTCCGCCTGTAACGATTTGCAGCCCCAGAAACCACAGTGAACAATGCTACTCTGACTTGTTGATAGTTGATTGGCTAGTACAAGTTATTATTATTTTGGTGGAACTGAAAGGAAGAGGCATTCATGGGGTCAGCGAAGGACAACAAGGACAGAATGTTGGAAGTCTACTTAGAAGCCCAAGGAGAAAACCGACTGAGTCTGCTCCAAAAAGACGACATAAATTGTGTACCTCCTCACTGTCGTGTGGTCAGCTCCAATCACAGAGATCCTGTATGAGGTTTCTGAGACTGTAAATCTTTATGGGAACAGAGAACCTCATCTTTCTCCCACAGAGTACCTGGTGGTTTTGAACCGCTGACCTTGCGAGCAACAGCCCAGTGTTTATCCCACAGCGCCACCAGAACTCCTTCATAAACCATGGAGGACACTCAAATCATTCGCACCAACCCATTTCTTTGTTCATATGAAAGGACTGTCTGGTATTTCACTCAAGTATGTTTTCCATCTTTTCCCTGTCTACTATGAAAACAGCTGGCCACTATTTCACTCACCTATGTACCCTTCTTTTTGCCAGGTCTGCTTTGTGAACCTGGATGTGAACAAGAAGGAATGCAGCATGGAGCATCTGCAACAGGTACGTATGGGATTTGAGGTCCCTTGGAACTTGATACAAAGGATGTCTGCACAGATGGAGGGTTTGATATGATTTCATCGTAAACCCTACTCATTTTTCAGAAGACTCTTTCATTAGATGGTTTCATTAGATAGGTTCATCACAGCCCATTAATTCCCTTGGCTCTTTTTGTCCTGACACGTCTTATAGTGTGCACTTCATTGGTGGGACTTATAGACAGGGCTCCTCCCTAAGCACCTGCTTCTTCCTACCCACCAGCTCAGTAAAGTGTTGTTTTGTTTGGTGTGTGTTTTTCTGATCTCCCAGTATTCCAATGCCCTGTCTGAGATGCCCTTTCCAAAATCTATTTGGCGGTGGCCAACCCTTCCCTCTGGCCCTCAGGTTTGCTGTTCCCTACAATTTTAGTCAAATGCCTCTTAACTCAGCCCGGATTACCTGTCCTTTGCTCACCTCATCCTCTGACAATTAAGTGGTTCAGCAATAGACTTCTCACATTCCAAGTGGGAGACCCAAGTTCAATTCCAAGCCAATTCGCCCCAAGCACTAATAGCACACATCTGTCAGTAGAGGTTTTCGAGTAGCTATGATACTAATAGGTTACAGCACAGCTTCTAGATTAAGGGAGACTATGAGGTGGGTGAAAGTCCAGTGATCTATTTCAGAAAAATAAGCCAATACAATACCTGAGAATCACAATGGCCCATTCCATTGTTCATGGAGTCACCATGAATCGCGTCCACTTCACAACAGTTAGCAACAGCAGTTAAACGTGTGCAGCCCATTCAAGGTTGTGATGAAAATCCTTTACAACCTATAAGAACTTGAAGACCCCAAAAGCTCTTGTGTAGCCAGCCATCTAATATGCAACTATTGGTCTAGCCCTATTCAGAGGAAAGATGAGTAAAGAAAACAAAGACACAGAGAAACAATTAGCCCAGTAGACTAATAAATAGACCACTTCACTCCATTCCAGCCTCCACGATCCTGTTGGTTTTGAGACCTGAAGAACTAGATGGTGCCCAGCTCTGGAAGGGATCACATTTGTAGGTCCTAGGTAGACTGGGAAAAAACAGAGAAGGAAAAATCAAACTCATAAATGACCAGGCTTACTGGTTGGATAGAGACTAGAGGAACCACTGAGTTTATGACTGTTAGTCACCCTTCATTTCAAACTCACCCATAGGCCTTAATTTTCATCAAAACAAGAGACAGGTCTGTAAAGGGAACAGAGACAGTAGAGAGTTACACACACCTTAGGATAATCAATAATTTGAGATAGAAAGGACAGCATGTTTCCAAGGACAAAGTGCAGATAGGTTAGGAAAGAAGGAAGAATGGAAACAGGAAACAGAAAAGAAGGAGGGAGGGGTGATCAGTGATGTTACATAGTGAGGATTGCGATCAAGGACAGGAAACAAATGTGTTTGAATTGTTTAATGGAAACTGGTCTGCTCCGTAAACCTTGACCCAGTTCACAAGAGAAGGACTTGTTTGTTTTTACTTTAAAACTTAATTTAAAAGAAAAAAAGAATTTGCAGACCCACCCAGTCCTTTGAAACAAGAACACGTGACACAGTGAGAAGAATTATTGTTGTTAAGAGGATGGTTCCGACTCATAGCTGTTCTATGTTCAACAGAATGAAGCACTGCTCAGCCCCATGGCACCCCATAACAGTTCTTATGTTGGAGCCCATGGTGGCAGACACTACATTAATCCCTCTTGTCAACGGGCTCCCTCTTTTCACGACCCCTCTCATTCACCAAGCATGATGTCCTTTTCCAGGAACTGGTCTTTCTGGCTAGCGTGTTTAGGGTACATGAGACAAAGTCTCACCATCCATGCTACTAAGGAGCATTCTGGCTGCACTTGCTGTGATGATAAGATTGCACTTTTAGGTCCAAAGTTGAAAATAGCTTGATGTCACCGTTGGGTGTAACATTGCTCGAAGCATAACATACACACCAGGAGCGGTGTAATTATCTCAGGATGTAAGTCTAAAAGGGCTCTATTACTCCTGTAACCATTTCCCGTTACAATAGTGCACCTGAAACTTCTCAAACTCAGTTGTCCACAGAGATTACCCATTCTAGATTTCCAACCTCCCTCCTAATACTATTCATCCATTTCATTTGATGAAATCGTGGCTCAGAGATCATTGAAGTGAGAGCAAGAGGCACTTGAGCAAGTTGGAATCTTGGAAACTATGTTTATAAAGGGATTTAAAGCAGCCTCCTACTATGGTTAATAGGAGACATTTTGTCACTGTTTGAGCTACATAAGCCTGGGTAAGTTTCTAATTTTCTCTGGGCCTCGGGCTGCTTATATGTTAAATAAAGATAATCATGGTGCCTGATCCATACAGGGTTTTTTGGGGATTATAAGTAATAAGATGTGACAGATGTACAGTCATTAACATCGTGCTTAACAAAAAGAGAAAATGTTGGTCGTTATTTCATTATCATTAGCTTTATTTCAACAGATGATTATTTAATTACCATCTTATTAGAGATACCAAAAAATAAATTTCTCCCAAATGACTACTTATACATTTTTTAACTGCAGAAAGTCATTTTCAACAGTCTTATTGGCATACACTTCACATATACAAATCAGTAGTTAAGTCATATTAAGAAGAGTTGTACAATCATCACCACAATCAATTTCAAAACATTTTCTTCCTTCTAGTACTCGGTGCTCTTAGCGCTTCATTGCCCCCGAACCTCTCCTGCCACACCTCCAAGAAACCATTAATTCAGTGACTGTCTCCATAGATTTACCTGTCCTGGATTTCAGATAGAGAAAAAAGTAACTCCTTAAAAAAACCTAACAACAATGCTCTTGATAATTCTTGTTAAATGTTTGCATTGAAAGATGCAAACAACAGTCTAGCTCAACCGGTAATGTTTGCCCTGAGTTCTGTGCTATGTTAAAGAATTATCCCTACAAAATCCAATTGACCACAGCAACCCTAACACACAGAGGGGAAGTTCAGGGCACAGGGAATCTAGGTGAATGGTGGCACGACAATATGGATAGAAAGAGTGGAAATGGTGACACAATGGTGACACGGTAGCCAAGGTTCCTGTATGAGTGTATATTTGGTTATGTATATTTCCATAAAAAATGGGTTTTTTTGGGAAAAAAGAAGAAGCAAAAATATTTGGAGGTAGTCTTTTGAAAGTGAAATGGAACCATCTACACTAATAACGATTCTTGCCCTATAGAAATTGGTCAACGTTTCACCAGATCTCCCAAAATTCATCAGCTCCATGAATGTCCAACAGCCAAAAGAAAATGAGATCGTCCTACTCAGTGGCTTAACATCTGGAAATCTCCAAACAGACTTTGAAGTTTCACAGGTAAGAAATAGAAACTGCTCATAGGCTGCTCATAACAAGTGCGTGTGTTTCCTGGAGATAACGCTCAACTCATATCAGCATGAGCCTGGAGCAAAGGCTATATTAAAGCGTTCTTAGCATAAGAATCAAAGATTTATTTGTATGGTAGCCTAGTCTTCATTTGCATTTCTTCTAAGTATCACCACTCAGTGTTGATATAGCTTCCTTTATGTCAATTTGTAACATTCACCTTCTCAAGTCTACGGTACTAAGTTGAACTAGAGAGCAAGAGCCCTAGGTAAGGGATAATTCACTTGATTTTCTACTAATTTGGTAGACATTCAAAAATAGAATCATCTTCTGTTCCAGGAACAATACCAGAATTTCAGTCTCTACCATGTGGTCCAAGAATCCCATAAGTTCATATTTCTGGATGATATTGTGAGGTGCCTTCAAGTAAATTTCCACTCATTGTGACCCCATATGAGAGTAGAATTGTTATAGAGGGTTTTCTAGGCAATAGACCTTATAGGAGCAGATCACCAGGTATTTCTCCCATAGAATTTCTGGGTGCGTTCGAACTACCAACTTTTTGTTTATAGTCATGTGGTTAACCATGGTGCCCCAGGGCTCTGTTATTTATCCTGATGGGATACTAAACCAGCGAAGCAAATAGACCCAGGATGACAGGCTCAAAGATAGAAAGGGGGTTCCTGGACCCAAAAGAGTAAAAGTCACCCTGAAAACAACATGTTGTTGATGATGTCAGACACCCTTGGATCAGCTCCAGCAACAGAACACAGTATTGCCCAGTCCGTCCCACAATGCAGCCATGGTGTCAATCCATCTCCTTAAGGGTCTTCCTCTTTTTCATTGCCCCTCTGCTTTGCCAGCACAACATCCTTTTCCAGGGACTGACCTCTTCTGATACCATGGCTGAAGTACACGAGCTGAAGTCTCCCGATCCTTGTTTCTAAAGAACATACTGATATTCATCATCAACAACACGATTCAATTGTTTCGACTTTGCTGTGGCATTCCTTATTCATTGTCCAGCTTTCTTATTTCAGACTGAAAATACCATGGCTTGGGTCAGGGACCCCTTAGTCTTCAAAGTGACATCTTTGATCCTTAATACCTTAAAGATATGGTGGGCAGCAAATGTGCCCAGTGCCATACATCATTTGAATATGCATAGTACAGAATATGCATTACATATTCTGACTGCTGCCTCCATGAGTGTTGATTGTAGATCTGAGTAAGATAAAGCCCAGGCAACGTCAACCTCTTCTCTTTATCAGGATGCTGCCCATTGAGCTAGTTATGAGGATTTTTTCCCTTTTAATATATTATAAATTATTTTATTGGGGGCTTGTACCATTCTTATCACAATCCATATTATACATCTGGATTGATATAGTTTATTATGCCAGTCTGGCTGATAAATACAAGTAGGATTAACTGAAGGGCGGAGAGATAATGGCTCAGTGAGCCTCATCTTTCTTGTCTCTTGCTCTTTGATCATCGGACCAGTGTGCGGCTGCCTTGCTTGTTCTGTGCCTCAATTTATAGGCTACAGTACCTGTGGGTTGCCTAGCCTGTGGACTGTGTCGCTGTAAGTTGAGGTCCCTTTAAGACATCTCTGGAGCTGGGGACTGGCAGTTGGGACTGGTGGTTTGTTGACAGTTGGTGATCTGCTTTGTGATTGGCTGCTGTGCTGAGATAGCATCGCTCTCTCTGTAAATAGAGGGCGATCTGGCAGCAGAGAGATAAGGACTGCTAGTTTCTCACAACTCTGAGCCATTTGTAGTGCTTATAATTTAACTGTTCATTTCTTATATTTATCTGTATATAATTTAACAGTTCATTTCTTGTTATATATCTAATTATCTTTATAAATAAATATATTTAATTATCAGCAATTTGGTTTTATCTCTCTAGAGAACCCTGTCTAACACAACATCCATCGTGTCAAGCACATTTGTACATTTGTTGCCATCATCATTCTCAAAACATTTGCTTTCTACTTGAGCCCTTAATATCAGCTCCTCATTTTCCCCCTCCCTCCCCACTCCCCCCTCCCTCATGAAGCCTTCATAATTCATAAATTGTTATTATTTTGTCATATCTTACACTGTCCGACGTCTTCCTTCACCCACTTTTCTGTTGTTCATCCCCCAGGAAGGAGGTTATATGTAGATTCTTGTAATTGGTTCACTCTTTCTCCCCCACCTTCCCTCCACCTTCCCGGTATCACCAGAGGATTTTTGTTTTGTGTTGAGCTGTAACAATAGTAATAATTGCAAAGGATCTAGCTGACTCTTATTATCTTTAATGTACTAATACTCATTGCCATCAGGTAAATTATTATGATAATAAGTATTTGAAGAAAAATGGGTAACTTCACTTAATTCGGTTCCAAGAATAATATAGGAAAGATTTTTAAGATATACTAAAGGTATACACTTTTCAAAAGTAGGTACATTAACAATGATACACAAGGCAGTTGCAGATTAAAATGATGAGCATCTATGTTCCTCTATTGTTCTTTTAGTTTTGCTGTTGAATCTTAAAATCTTTTGTTCTTCAATCCATCAAACACCTCAAAATCCTAGAGGGAGCTCCACCATTTCTTGGTCTATGCCAGCTCCTTCGTGAAAATCTACATACAGGCTGTTATGGTTTGCTAATGGAGACCAGGGTGATTCCTCCCATCATTCTAAAAGCACATGCCTTTAGATAGAAGGGTTGGGTTCTGCTGGAAAAGCAAACTAAATAAAGGCTCAAAGTGCCTACTCGTTATATTAGGCCAAACTATGATGAGCAGAAATAATATTGAAACCTGAGTTTTAAAAGCCTTCCTGGGCCAGACTGCTGTGTCCTCTGGTACTACTACCTGGCATTGAGTTCCGGCCTCACTTGTAAAAGCTTGTGCTGCATATAGGATGGAACACTTGGGGTCTCCGTGAGTTGAAGTCCACTTGACAACTGGCTTGGTTGGTCTGGTTTAGGACGAGAGACGTAGACATGAGCTATAAACCTCCAAATGCAGCAGCACACATAGAAATAAATGCTCCTGGGCCTTGTCCCGCTGCACTAAGATAGAGACAAGCATCCTCCCCTGTCCTGGTGCATCCTGTGCATCCATGCACATCTGGTGACAGTTTTAACCAATGAATCAAGAATTCCACTGTTCATAGTAACTTGAAGCTCGCTAGCCAAAAAACGCAACATAAAGGAAGAAAATATATTTCGTAATTGATATCAATGGATCTGGATCTTTCTGATCGTAAGTTGGCCAGTCTAGACAGCTGAGATACGAATGATCTTTATTTGATAGCTTAGATCTTGAGAATGGGGTAGTAGTCCCTGAGTGCCACAAATGGTTAGCATGCTTGACTAGTACTCAGATGGCTAAATGGTCAAGTCCACTCAGTGGTGCTTCAGAAGAAAGCCTGATAATTTTTTAATGACTTCTGAAAAAAAGTGCTGGGAAGAGCCAGCTCTTCCCTGACACACACAGGATCTCCATGCGTCAGAGTGAACTGGCAGCAGCTAGTATTTATTTAAGGAGCTCTGATGGCACTGTGCTTTATGCATCAGGCTGCTAACTGCAAAGTCAGCAGTTCGATCTCATCAGCTGCCCCTTGAGTGAAAACTGAGGCTTTCTATTCCTGTAAAGAGTTACTCCCTCAGAAACCCCATATGTGGTTTCCACAGGCAGAATCCGCCAATCAGCTTGGTGATAATAGGTGATGGAAGTCGTTTTTTGAGAATGAGATCCAACCGGCAAAAAGTCCTTGGTTAGAAAATCAACGTTTTTCGTGAAGAAAAAATGAAATGAGACAGAGCAAACCTCCTCAGTGAATGTATGTGCATTCCGTAGATGTACACTCCATAGATGTACACACACATCCACGCCTTCAGGAACAAAAACTAAAACTACAAGTTACAGCTAGTCAGTCAATTCCTATTCACAGGGACTCTAACCGGCAAGCTAGCTAGCACCACCTCCAGGTAACTTCAACCACGGACATCCACTACCCTCGAGTCAAATCCCAACTCCTAACAGACCTGTAGGCCAGGGAAGTACTGTCCCTGTGGGTTTCCAAGACTGCACATCTTTGCGGGAGTAGAAAGCCTCATCTTTCAGCTGATGGTTTCAAACTGCTGATCTTCAGACTAGTAGTGCGATGTATCAAGCATGGTTCAAATAATCCTCTTTATAAAGTGAGCAGCTCGACATGAAATAATTCCCCTGAGCATTTCAAACAGCATTTTAAGATAAATTTGCTTAACTCCCTCTAATGCATTAAGTCCTGTTTTACTTTAAAAATCTCCCTTTTCCAAATCAAGTTAGCATATTGTTCTTCCCAAAGAAGTAAAAACCCCAAAGCCATGCACACTTCTGGTTATTAGCAATCTGTACACTAGCAAGTAGACATCTTTTCTTATTATTTTAGTGACAAGTGTTATGAATAGTGAAAAACAAAGACAAGGGGTGGTTTTTATTTCCACAAACCTGAGCATCAATCTTAGTAGATCTGTCTGCGACCCCAACCAGTGATCTGAGCCTCTCTCTTACGGCTCTCCCCTGAAGCAGTCTTCCAATGATAGTTCATTTCTCACTGATTTCTTCTACTTCATATTCCCCTCATCCTTCAAATGAGCAAAACAAATTATAAAGGCCTACTGTAGTTGATACAATGCTTGATACACATCTGAAGTATGGGCAGAGGTTGCATTGAAACCGAGATGGAGAAAGATGTTGATCAGAGAGGCTGGAACTGAATTTAATCAAGAGAGGAAAACAAGAACATCTGATAGGACGATTTCATTTTCCCTTCCGTCAAATTTTCTCCTAGGTACCCTGTGTTCCCAAACATCATTTGAATTTTTCTTTTCCAAGTGGTTCATCCACATAAGCCCAGAAGACATCTCCACAAAAGTAGAGATTGAGACGAAGAAAGCTCAGAATAAACATCTGAGGTCGTCTTTCAACAAGTGCCCTCTTTTCTCTCCACTTCTATCTAGTGTCCTTGGCTGCCAGACATCTGCTTGGTCCAGTGTGCCCGAGGGAACAGATCAAACAGTACCAATTGCATCATCTTCGAGATCAACAAGTTTCTGATCGGCCTGGAGCTGGTGCGAGAGAGGCAGCTCCAGGTGGAAGCAAGCACCTTGAAACTGGAGGACGACACCAACTGTTCCTTGTCCTCCATTGAGGAGGACTTCCTCACCGCGGCCGAGCACCTAGAGGAGGAGACCGAGCTGGAAGAACATAGGAACGGTGAGAACTTGCCATTAGTCACTGTGTGAAACACCTGGGTGAAGGTGGCAGGGCCTTCCAGGCCATGTGAGTTTGGCGGATGCGTCCCAGTCTTCACTTCTGCATTTAGGGAGGGAAGGAGAGGGTGAGAGGAGGCGAGGGACGATGTTGACTTATGCATGTTATAGACTTCATGGTTGATGCCTTGACTCCCCAGAGGTGCCTGAGGGATGCTGAAAGACATGGGTGTGCTTTAAAGGGAGACCCTCCTGCCTGAGGAGGGCATGTCATTGGAGGCATCCTTAAAAACTCTCACTGCCATCAAATTAATTACAACTCATAGCAACCTATAGGTCAGGATAGAACTCGCCATGTAGGGTTACATGATTGTAACTCTTTACGGGAATAGAAAGCCTAGTCGTTCTCTTACTCCAGGTGGTAGTTTCAAACTGCTGACCTTTGAGTTAACAGCCTAACTTGTAATCATTATGTCACCAGGGCTCCTCATCACCTAAGACCTCTGTAAGACCTCTATAAAACCACACGCTGGCTTAAAGCTGACTACGAGACAGCATGGCAGTGAGTTTGGACTGAGCTCAATTTGAATCCCAGCTCAGCCTGGGTAACTTGGAGTCAATTCTTTCATTGTTCTGAGACCTCTCTCATTATATGCATTTGGGGAGTTTCAGTCTGCCTACAAGAAAGTGGTTGTTGGGAGAGGAGAGGACATAAGCCAAGGACAAACAACTCACAGCCATTGAGTAGATGCTGACTCCTTCAGGACCGGGAAAAACTGCCCTATGGCTTTCTAAGACTGTAACTCTTTACGTGGTAGAAAACCCCATCGTTCGCCCGCAGAGTGGCTGGTGGTTTCAAACTGCTGACCTTGCAGATCGCAGTCCATCGGGTAACCATTGCACCACCAGGGCTCCCGAGAAAGTACTTTAAAAATAAACCAAATGTTTCAAAACAAATGACAGTGTTGTCATCGAGCAACCCCACATGTATCAGATAGAGCCTTGCTCCGTGAGACCCTCAACGGCTGAGAGTTTTGAAGAAAATCACCTGGTCTTTCTTCCGACGTGCTTCTGGGTGGGCTTGAGCCTACAACCCTTCCATCAGTAGCCTAGCACATTAACCATTTGTACCACCCAGGGACTCCAGAAAATGCTTAAAACAAAACAAACCCACTGTTACCGCATCAATTCCGTTGACTCATAGGTATCCTCAAAGATAGACTAGAATGTCTCCGTATGTTCTCTAAGACTGTAATCTTTATGAAGGCAAACTGCCTCACTTTCCGCCTTACAGAGCAGTTGGTGGTTTCAAATCACTGACCTCTTAGTTAGGAGCCAAATGCCTAGCCCGCTGAACCACCTAGGTTCTTCTTAGCACTCATGTGTCCAACTTTTTGCACTATCTCTAACTGAACCATATTTGAGCCAATCATGGCATCCAGGGCATCAAACAAGCAAACAATGTGAGACTGGGCAGTGTTTCGTTGTGTGTGCACAGGGTGGCTAGACTTGACACGGACTCAAAAGCACCTAACCCCAGCAATAATAACAGCAGCAAACTGTGAATTTTCCCTCTCTACTCTCCACCATAGAAGGGACATCCCCTCCCCACCCCTGCCCCTCGCACACCCATTGTCACTGTCCTTAGGGCAGGTCCTCTACATACTTCAAAGCCAATTTGTCAGCAGTCCTATTACTGAGGTCATCCTGAACGTCCTCCCTCCTCCCTCTGTAGCCCCTGGGGAACCCGCAGATGCAGTTATTCTGCACTGACTCCCACTTGAGTTCTGGCACCCACCACTCCGCTTGCAAGTCCTCTCCTTTCCCACACTATCCCTTACATTTGTGTCCTACATTTGAAGCCATTGAGTTTGGTGGTGTGTTAGGCCGGGCTGACTACCAAAACAAATCCAGGAGCACTCATCTGTATAAGAAAGAGCTTTATATCAAGATGTAATTATCTATCAAACAAATATTCCAGTCCAGTCCAGATCAAGACTATAAGTCCGATGCTAGTCCATAAGTCCTTCCTCAGACTCATGCAGTCACATGCAATGATGCAGAATGCAGGAAGATCACAGGCTGGTAGGTGCAAAGTCGTGTGGATCCAATGACAGTGGACTCATCTCCACGGCAGCAACCAGGGTCCGCCCGCAGGAAGGTGAAAGCAGAGAGATAGTGGGAGGTTCCCAGGACCCTCCTTTTGAGAAAGCCACACCCACAAGAAGTCGTTATGAGGTGGTGAACTGATTGACAGGCTGGACTCCACCCCTACACTGTTACTTTTCTTCTGGTTGACAAGTGTAGTTATGTAACTACCACAGGTGGCATTCCACAGTGAAACTCAGACACTTATTTCAGATTCGTTTTTCTTAAGGAAACTTTCAATACACCATGTTGAGGTGGGAGGGGGGTGGGGGGAGGAAAAAATGGCTAATACTTTAAGGCAGTGGTTCTCAACCTTCCTAATGCCAGGACCCTTTAAAATAGTTCTTTATGTGGTGGTGACCACCCCCACCACCATAAAATGATTTTCATTGCTACGTCATAACTGTAATTTTGCTACTCTTATGAATGGGGCGACCCCTGTGAAAGGGTAGTTTGACTCCCAAAGGGGTCACGACCCACCGGCTGAGAACCTCTACCTTAAGGCATTTTGAACACCATTGCTATGGTGGGCCCATGGCACCTGCTATCCTGAAACTCACAGTGGGTCTCATTTTCTCTTCCCTAGGTTTTGAAAACATAAATGCCTCCATTAGCATTCTGGAAAGTAATAGGCCAAAGGAGGCCCCCCAGGAAGATTGGAATGGCAACAAGGAAAAGCTCTTGCATGCTTTAGAAGACACCTACCTTAGCAAGTACCACACACCATGGATTAAGCCAGAAGGAGGTCAAGGAAAAGTCGCTGGAGAAACCGAGGTGAGCCACCTGGATGCCTCAACCAAGCCATCACAATGGAAAAGTGGAGCGGTGGGTGCAGTGAGCCCAGCCACCCATGATCACAGTTCAGAAAAGGTGAAAGGTCAAGTGGAAAGGTGGCAGGCGCGCCATCCTCCAGACGAGACTTGTTTCTCCAGGTTAGTTAAGGAAGAGGTATCCCCTGCCTGTGGTCCCGACACTGAACGTGGCAGCAGCTTAGAGCCAGCAGCCCCTGGAAGCAGAAGAAAATCTCTATCTCCCATCCAGGATGAAGAGGCTACAACTGGGGAGTATGCGACGAATTTGGCAGAATCGGTGCTACAAGATGCATTTATTAGGTTGTCTCAATCTCAGCCAGCCCTGCCCCAAGAGTCTGCACCCTGTATTTCTGCAGGAGGCACAAAGCTTCCCAGTGGCTGTCCCACGGAACACACAGGGGTCCCTCCGTCGTGGAATGAGCTCCCCCAAATCGTCATAGTCCAGAGTCCGGATGGCAGTGATGCTGCTGCTGAGCAAGGTATCTGCTTGGGGCCCGAGTTGGAAGTCTCTGCTGAAACCCCGAGCATCCTCTCTGGAGAGAACCCGAGCCAGTACTCACAGAATGCCCTAGAAGTCGTGTTGGCTTGTGCAGCCACTGTCATTGGCACCATCTCCAGCCCGCAGGCCACAGAAAGACTCCAAAAGGAACAAGAATCCCTGGTCTTGAGCAGTTCCCTGGGAGGCAGCGAAGCCCTGAACACTCACGCCCCCCGAGTCCTACAAGAACCCCCTGGCGGGGAGTACTCCTTTCCATCAGCGTTGTGTGGCATGACTCAGGTAGCAAGTGCTGTGGCTGTGTGTGGCCTGGCTGACACGAGAGAGGTGACATGCCCAGGGGCGACAAGTGACCTCACATCAGTGACTCCACGCAGCGGATTCATGACGGAGAGGAGCGTGGAGATGAGGAATGAAGCCATTGCGGAGGCCCTGCTCAAGGAGGCCACACTGCTCCTGATGAGGCCCGGCTCCTGCAGCAGCGTGGGAGACCTCCTGGGCTCCATAAGCAGGCAAATTGTAGAAGCAGCTTCCAGGCCTCGGACTCTATGCTCAGAACTTGTCTTCGGCAATGAGCTGGCCCAGAACCTGTCCAATGTGATCCTGAAGCATTCCATGGATGAAGTTCACCGAGACAGCAAAATAACGGAGCCCAGAGAGGGTAGGCACCCGTCTGTCACTCTGGACGCCTTAATGGAAAGGACAAACCAACTGCTCTTCAAGGTGATCTGCGTCACGTTCCAGAAGATGAGCCACATGGCGCAGCTCGGGGGAGGGTCCCTGGTCCTTGGTAAGGACACCTCCAGGGGGCGCGAAACAGATATAGGCTGCCAGCTAACTGACCACGCTGCGAGCCAAGTGTGGCCCAAAGGTTCTGAGCATACCAACAGCCATCCAACTAGCACTCTGCCCAACACTAGCCTTGTCATCCAAGAAACTGCCAAGGAGATGCACCCCAAACGGGACAACAAGGACAGAGCGCGGCCTGGCCTCTTCAAGAACCCCACCCTGCCAGCTGAATTCTCATCTTGCCAGGGCCTGCATGAGGCCTCACCCGCTAAAACCCCCTCCCAGGAAATGTGTCTGAACAGAACAGCGGGAGACCTGACAAAAAGCCATCCTCAGTCACCAGGCCTCAGTGAGAAGGAACACCGAGCTTCTCCAGAGGGACAAAGGGCATCTCCAGTCAACAGAGGCAGGAAGGGATCCCAGGAGGCTGAGGGAGTTATCAACCCAAACACCCAAGAAAAGCACAATGGCGACACGCCTCTTCCCAATGACGCGCAAGTCCCCCTGTCTTTGCTAGGGAATGACTTGCAGCTTCCTGCTCAGCCCGGGCTACAGGCAAAGCAGACAGACATCCACACCCTCACAGACTTTGCAGAAGAATTAGCGGAGACCGTGGTCTCTATGGCAACTGAAATCGCAGCGATTTGCCTTGACAACGCCAATGGCAAGCAACCCTGGTTCTGTGCGTGGAAAAGAGGGAGTGAGTTTCTGGTTACGCCAAACTTAGCCTGCCGCACCTTGAAGCGAAAGAAGGAGAGCCAAGGCAGCGGGGCCACCATCAGAAAGCACAAGCCCCCTCGGCTCAGTGAGATCAAGAGGAAGACCGACGAACACCCTGAGCTGAAAGAGAAACTGATGAACAGAGTGGTGGATGAGTCCATGAACGTCGAGGACGCCCCTGATTCTGCCAGTTCCTTTGCAAACGCAGTGGCAGCCAAGATCATGAACTTAACCGAGTTCACCATGGTGGATGGCGTCTGGCAAGCCCAGAGCTATCCCCGGAACCGGCTCCTCGGTGACAGGTGGAACCGGCTGAAGGCCTCCAGCTGTGAAAGCATTCCCGAAGAGTCGGCTGACGCCAGGGCCTATGTGAACAGCCTGGGTTTCATGAGCACCTTGAGCCAGCCGGTGAGCAGGGCCAGCTCGGTCTCCAAGCAGTCCAGCTGCGAGAGCATCACTGATGAGTTTTCCAGGTTCATGGTGAACCAGATGGAAAGTGAAGGGCGAGGGTTTGAGATCCTGCTGGACTACTATGCCGGCAAGAACGCCAGCAGCATTTTGACGGCCGCTATGCAACAGGCGTGCCGAAGAAGTGACCACCTGAGTGTGAGGTCCAGCTGTCCCTCCAAGCAGTCCAGCACAGAGAGCATAACGGAGGAGTTCTACAGGTACATGCTGAAGGACATGGAGAGAGACAGCAAAGACGGGCCCTCCTCCAGGAGAAGCAGCCAGGATTGGACAGCTGGTCTGCTGCCTCCTCCCCCAAGAGCCTCGTTGTGCCATCGACAGTCATCCATGCCAGACAGCCGATCGCCCTGCACCCGGTTAACAGTGAATGCCCCCATCAAGGCCAACTCCTTAGATGGCTTTGCCCAAAACAGCCAGCCAGATTTCCTAAGCGTGCAGCCAGTGGGCAGCGCCTCCTCCTCGGGCCTCTGCAAATCGGACTCTTGCTTATATCGCCGAGGTGGGACAGACCAGATCACCAACATGTTGATTCACGAAACGTGGACCAACTCCATTGAGGCCCTCATGCGCAAGAACAAAATCATCGTGGGTGACATGCAGGCAGCAGCTGCTGGACCTCTTTCTGGTGGCAAAGCCATGCCAGGGGAGAGCTATGCCAACCGATTAGCATCAAGCAGAGGATCCAGCGGGTCGACTCTGCTCATTCAGGAGTCGGTTGACTGTCCAAGGCGAGACTCCCTTACTGGAAGCAAATGTTCTTCAGCATCATCACCAAGCAAAGCCACTCTCCTTATGAGCCACAACAGCGTCGATGCCACGAAGGACCCTTCCACGCTTCCCACAAACCACACCCGGGGATCCCTTTGCTCCAGGGAAGTGCCGCTTATCCAGATTGAAACGGATCAACGGGAAGAGTCTGGTGGAGAACCGGGAGATGTCCATTGCAACCCCCACGAAGAAGCAGAAGAACATTCCAATGAAGGAAAAGTCCCGGATGTGGAAGGGAGCAGAGGCACAGAGGAGGGAAGCCGCCCAGGCCATCGGTGAGTGGGATTTCTGCTATATTAGACTTGAGTTCTTCTATTTCATTTGAGTTTACCCTGCATCTCAGACTCACCCACTGCCAGAGAAGGATTCTAACTCATTTCAAACCTATAGGGCAGAGTAAAACTGCCCCCATAAGGTGTTCAAGACTAAATCTTTTGGAAGTAGACTGCCACATCTTTGCCCCATGAGACAGCCCGTGGGTTTCAGCCCTCAATCTTTCAGGTAGCTGCCTATAATTAAACCCACTGTGACACCAGGATCCCTACATCAGGTATGAAAGGACTTTATTGATTCAGGAACCATATTTCCAAGATAGTATATGGCTTTCCCAGGTTAACATGTGCTTGTCATAGAAAGTTGGAAGTGATTTGGGGTTTTTTGATACCCAAACAAATTGCCTGCGTTTATATGACAGAGGAAAAAATGTGTCCTTTGTGCAGTGAAATGCAATCTTCTGCATGTTAACTACTTTTTAATATTCATCCACAGCAGCTTTCAAGTAAAGACATAAATAAAAACAGTGATGCCAATGTGCATATTGGAAAAGAGTAAACGGAGATTACTATTGGCCTCTCACCTTAGCTCTTCCAGCAGCACTGTGTTTTCTGGCCTTTTGGTTCAAGTTTTTCCATGGCCTGGAGATACATGATATAATAGTGGCTGCAACAATTCAGTGTGATCATTTCAACAGTTCAGCGGGTTGGAATGTAAGGGACTTTAGTCACTAAATATTTCCTTGAGTCACCCAGAGCGGATGCCTTCATCTGTCATCACTGCCTTTTACTCGTCCATAAGTGGGGATACTAACGATGCTCTTAGCTCATTGCCTTGCCCATTGTAAGCACTGATTAAATCTTCATTACTGTTGTTGTTATTTCAGGGTAGGCTATATGGTTGCCCTTTTGCCAGGGGGTTTGTCCCAGAGGAAAACTGTTAGGAATAACATGGGCATTGTGTTCCAATAAGAGAATCTGTAGAATTTGTAAGGAGAAATAATCAGTCCCACGTAGATTCCATTTCCTTAATTCAGAGTTGTTAGCAAGGAAATCGATGTGTCTACATAGCTAAATGCAAAATGCAATTCCTTGTGAAACCATTTCTCCTCAGTTGAGGTGCACATGAGTGACATTAGCACGCTAGTAGAGAGACATAAGCACTCTAGTAGAGATATAAGCACGCTAATACCAGGTCCTGAGGACGTTTTACGGCCACCCTTTGAGGATACTCATGAGAAGACTATTCATAATTCTTATTACATATCTCATAAAAACTTAGCATGGGGAAATATGAATCACGTTTCCTCCTTTTTTTATTTCATAAAGTAACTCCTTCGGGGTCCCTTTTGGAAGTCACACCCCAATGGAATGACCTGTTGTGTTTTAGACCCTGAAGATCTTCCAAGCCACCTGAAGGATGCCTAGTTTAAATGCTTTAGAGTGGCCATGTTCCTGGTTTCCACGGGAAAGAGGATCCTATTGGAGGACAGCAATGAGGCCTTAATGCATCCCCCTCTCTGAGAGAGTTGAAAGGCAATGTTCTTTCTGTTTGCTTGGAGAGCAACCCGGGACTGCTAAGCAAACAAGAAGGTGTTTCTGGCTCCAGCTGATGCAGCCTGGATGGTTTAGACACATACTGCCTGGCATGCGTCTACAAGAGCAGTCAAGCAGCTCAGAGGGTTGCAGTTCCCACCTGCACAGGTTTGTTCCAAACGCCCCTACAAAACGGGGTTAGCCTGCCTCTGTGATCGGTGCCTGGCTGCAGACGAGGCTTCTCCGTCTTACACTTGGCTTCGTCTCCTTCGAGTGCCAATCAAACTGTGCCTTCGAGGGGGTCTGCTGCACCACTTAAATTTAAAACAGAGAGGCCAGCCCTGAAGCTTACTGCAACTGGGCTTTCCTTTAGATGTCAAAAGGGAACTCTTGATAGATTTCCTGGAAGGATGCAGGAGGACCCTGAGGGCACATGCAGAAGATGAAGATCGGCATCTGCATGGATGAGAGAAAGCCCAGGAACACGGAGCCTAGGAACTTTTTATTTGTCTTTATCATGATGATGCAAGAATGTCCAGTGAGAATTAGGTCGAGAAACCCTACCCTGCCTACCCTCAAGCCCTGATCTTGATCCTTCGCCTTTTTTTTTTCCTTCCCAAAAGCAAAGAGCATGTAAAAATAACACAATTTGACTTTCCCATGGATGCCGAAACTGCCGTTGGAGAAGGGTCTTGCGGTAAGAGTGCTGAATTCTTCAGGGGAGGACGAGAGCTGGAAATGTCGCCTTCCAAAGCGCCTGGTCCTCGGGGCAGGCTCTGTCAAGAAGCAATGCTTTCACACAATGAAATTGTTGTTTAATAAAGGGTTTGGGATTGGGCAGCAATACTTCCCTTTTGATTTATCTTTTTCTTCAAGAAAAATAGGTTTTTCATCCCCCACACACGGACGTGCCAACCCTGTGGCCTGAACTGGGGTCGGTGCCGCAAACTCAGAAGGAACTGAGGGACTTGATGCTTTGCCCTCAGCTCCCCCATGGTCAGGAGGCAGACAGACAATCAGGATGGACCAGCCAAGCAAACTCGGGGCCATCAAGCCAACTCTATGGGAAGTAGCTACTGCAGAGGGTGATGAGAGAGTAACTAGCTAAAGGGAGTGGCTTCTTGAGGTAGGATTTTGCATTTGAAATAAAAACTAAAGGAAGAAAAGGTACCCACCATGTGAAGAATTAGAGGCCCAAATTGGCAGTCTAAGCATTCTGAGTGTTCTAGCTAGCCAGCAGAATCCCTCCACCACAAATCACCCAGAAATCCGGGAGTAAATATACTGAACATCGTTTCAAGGTAAGACAGAGTTTACTACTAAACCAGTGGTTTACTACTACTAAACCTGTGGGTCGAGACCCCTTTGGAGGTTGAACGACCCTTTCACAGGGGTCACCTAACACATCCTGCATATCAGATATTTACATATGATTCATAACAGTAGCAAAATTACAGTTATGAAGTAGCAACGAAAATAACTTTATGGTTGGATGTCACAACCTCCAACTGTATGAAAGGGTCTTGGCACTAGGAAGGCTGAGAACCACTGTACTGAACCAACTGCCTGTAAGATGACCGCTACTCATGGAAGCCCACGTAGGGTAGAGAAGAACAGCATCCCATAGGGCAGGGGTCCTCAAACTTTAAACAGGGGACCAGTTCACTGTCCCTCAGAGCCGTTGGAGGGCCGGACTATAGTTTTAAAAAAAAACTATGAACAAATTCCTGTGCACACTGCACATATCTTATTTTGAAGTAAAAAACAAAACAGGGCAAAAACATCCGGCGGGCCAGATAAATGTCTTCAGCGGGCCACATGTGGCCCGTGGGCCATGGTTTGAGGACCCCTGGGTGATAGGGTTTTGAATGACTGTGTTTTCAGGTGTAGGTCACTATCTTTTTTTAAAGATGCCTCTGCGTGCTCTTGAACCTCCAATCTTTCTGTTAGAAGCGGAACACCTTAACCGTTTGCACCACCCAACGTAATCATAATAATTCAAGGCCTCAAACAAAAAGAACTTGAAACAAAAGTGGCAAGTGATGCTACCTGTGCCTGTTCTTGCAATACTTCCCAACCTCAAACAGCCAGAAAAAACCAAGATGTGAAGCTGTGGGCTGGTGAGTTGTGGAGACTGGTAGCTGAGACAAAGCTCCACAATGGGAAGGTTTACATCTTCAGAAAAATTTACTGGCCAGCAAGGAGAGGTACGAGAAATGTACCTCTCGATGTAAGGGCACTGGGAGAAAGGAGTCAGAATGTATAATCTAATCACAGCTTCCCCAAGGGCATGCTTGGGGTGACAATTTGCACCATCGTGGTAATTCAGGAAGTAAATCACCTTAAAGAAATCTCAGATCACCAACACTTGGAGAGTCTGGCAGAAATGAAAGGAAATCTGTGAAGATGTAAACCTGTATTTAAAGATCCCACATACTCATAAAGGTCTATCAAATATCAGTGCAAAATCCCAAATTATAAGAAGAAATCAAGGCATCGGAAGCAACAACACTCTGCAGAAACTTCAGATAACAGAATTGGCCCTACTCAGGGTTTCAGGAAGGAGCCTTGTTGGTGTCCTGGGTTATGTGTTGGCTGCTAATGCAAGGTCAGTGGTTTGAAACCAGCAGTCACTCTTCGGAAAAAGACAAGGCCTTCTTCTCCCGTCCAGGGATCCCCGGTGGTGTAGTGGCCATGCGTTAGACTGCGATCTGAATGGTCAGTTCGATACTACCAACAGCTCCTCCGAAAAAAAGACTGAGTTTTCTACTCCTGTAAACGATTAGTCTCAGAAACCCACTGGGGCAGTTCTGCTCCGTTCTAGCGTGAGTTGGAATCGAGTTGGTGGCCGTGGTTTGAGGATTTCAGACATGGGAAATGTCACTTATAAAAGTTTTAAAATGTAGAATGAATGTGTTAGGTCCATGGAGAAAATGAGGTATCTAAAATATGAGCAAGAAATAAACCACAGTCAAAATAGGAGGAGGCAAATTATTTTTAAACAACAACCAGCAGTATAAGAGATGAAGGGTATAATCATTTGAAACAAACAAAGTATCATTAAAATTAAAACCTCACTGAAAAGGTTGCACAACTGGCAAATCTGAAGACAGGGCCGCAGTAAAAAATCAAAGTGAAGGGACTTTTGCTTGCAGCCACAAAGTAGTCACTGAGACAGAACTTGCTCTACTCCTGAGACAACCAGACAGCTACCATTAGACGACATGCTTGTATGAAAAGAAACTCAAGAAACAAACCCCAACATGCGCCTTTGAGACCATTCTGATGCACGGCAACCCTGTAAGACAGGGTCGAACTGCCCTGCTGGGATTCTGAAACTGTAACTCTTTAAGGAAGTAGAAAGCCCTCTCTGTAACAGCCGGTGGTTTCAAACTGCTGACCTTGTAGTTAGCAGCCCAACGTGCATCCCCCAGGGATGATCCAATTCATCTCAAAATATGGATACGGCCAAAGGCATGGAAGTGCTTTGCAAATAAGTAAAATTGGGCACCCCTGGGCCAGGTGAGCTCTATGGCTTTGGCCAGTTCAGGGACTGTGCAGTCACATCTGATGGGACTTTGGTCCTCTGAGATTCTTTGTGAACAATAAGCTCAGAAGGGGGAAATACATTTGCAAACATCCGCATATCACATCTGCACATTATTCCTAATCACAACAGCAAAGCTATACGTTTCTAACTAAAGAAAATGACAGCCGGGGCTCTGGGGAATCATGATTCCTCCTGCAGCTCCTGGGATGTGGCACAGAGCAGGAGGCTTGCTATAAATCGAGCATAAAATTGAGATCAACTGAAATATACTGACGGGTGCATTTTTAACTTCCACGTGTAGTCTCAAGTGCTGAGGCTTCCATACTGTCTGAAATATTCTGGAATACAGTTTGTTTTTCCCCACTAATAGCACAAGGTTCTATTTTAGTATGAAATTAGTCTAGGATGCTTGGCTTTAGCCAAGCACACAAAGGGTTTTGGACTCCCCTCCCTCCCCAACAGCACTTCAGTTTGGGCCATAGGTACGTATTGTTTCCGTTTGTCCTCCATGAATTTTCTTCCATTTGAATTTCACTACCTACCTAACTACCTAATCTCTCGGGCCTTGCCCAATCTTGCCCTTTCTCCTTGCTCAAATTGCTAAAACCTCAACATTTTATAAAGAAAAAGCAAGCTTTTTTTTTTTAATCATTTTATTAGGGGCTCATACAACTCATCACAATCCATAGACACATCAATTGTGTAAAGCGCATTTGTACATTCATTGCCCTCATCATTCTCAAAACATTTCCTCTCCACTTAAACCCTCGGCATTAGGTCCTCATTTTTCCCCTCCCTCTCCCTAATGAGCCCTTGATAATTTATAAATTGTTATTTTGTCATATCTTGCCCTGTCCGACGTCTCCCTTCACCCACTTTTCGGTTGTCCGTCCCCCAGGGAGGAGGTCACATATAGTTCCTTGTAATCAGTTCCCTCTTTCCTACCCATTCTCCCTCTACCCTCCCTGTTTCACCACTCACACCACTGGTCCTGTAGGGCTCAAAGCTTATTAAGGAATTCCTATCACCAACTGTTAACAGACCAGCTAGGAACACCCACACCTCAATACCCTACAGACTTCCAGAGAGATACAGAGATGTATATGCCTAGAGCGTTCATTTCCTTTTCACGGCCGCATGGAGAGAACGGACCATCTCTTTCTTGCCACAGACCAAAGCACTCCCCACCACCTCAGAAACGGAGTCGCCAACAGCTCCTCTAAACCCCCAAGCTTCATCATTCAAGGTCCCTCTCCTGTGGTATCGACCTCACTGTACACACAATGTGCAGTATGGAATTAACCAAAAACCAAACTCCCGGCCACAGAGTCAGTGCTGACTCATAGCTTCCCCCAGAGGATTTCTGAAACGGTCACTGTTTACAGGAGTAGAAAACCCAATCTTTCTCCCGAGGAACTGCCGGTGGTTTTGAACTGCTGACCATGTGGATTGTAGCTCAATGAATAATGACTGCACCACCAGGGCTCCTGCAGTGAGGAATTAGGGCATGGGAAACCAGAGCAAGGTGCTCTGGGAATAAATGAACACCCGCTCCCTAATCCAGACTTGCTGATGAAGCAATTGCTGGTGAAGAACCAGGATTGCAGCCTTTGTTATGGCTTACAACTCGATGTGAAGACTAAAATCCTCACAGCTGGACCAATAGGTAACATCATGTTACCCCTAACTGCAGAAATAAGGAAGGCTTCCGGGAACCAGGCCTAAATTAGCTGGACATTGAGAGTTGGTTAAAAGCAAAGATCAGAAACGTGTGATGATTAATTATTGATATAATTTATTAAAAAGCATAATCATTACCACTTATTAGGTGCTTTTTGCCGGGGACCAAGCCAAATGCATGGGAGCCATGGTGTCTCAGTGGTTAAGCACTGGATGGCTAACCGGGGAATTAGTGACCCACACTCACCAGTTCCTATGTATGAGAAAGAAATGTCAGCCGCTTCTGAGAAAAATTATAGCCTGGAAAAATCCTATGGGGCAGTTCCACTCTGTTCTACAGGGTCCTTAAGAGGGGAACTTCACTCTGGGAATAGTGGGTTGGGTTTGAAATTAAGCTAAATGCATAAAATGAATTTTGCTTTCTCATTTATGTCTTGCACAAACCTAAAATAACTTGAGGTCTAAGGTGTGGTACTAGCTACCTCGGCACCCGTGGGTAGCATGGTCAGTAGAAATAGGGACAGGGAAAAGGTGGGATTTTCAGTTGACTTTGTCCCTCTGCATCCTCATCAACAGAAAAGCTTTGCGGGTCCTTCCAAATTTAAAATTATAGGGATTTTTTGTTCGTTTTTAGATGCCACCAAGTCAGCTGCCCATCTTGGTGAGCGCGTGCGGCAGAATAACACACCTTCAGGCCCATTGTCACAGCTGCTGCGTCTCATTCTAGGCGGCTCATCTTCCAGTCCTGAACTGGACTATATTCTGTTGTGATCCACAGCGTTCTCGTTGGCTAATTCTCAGAAGCAAATCAATGGGCCTGCCCTCCTAGTCTGTCTTAGTCTGGAAGCGCCACGGTAACCTAGCCACCATTGATGACCCTGATGGAATTTGAAATAGCAGTGGCATCGCCTCTAGCATCACAGTCACCTCTTAGTCATCACAGTGTAACACTGGCAGACCAGTGCTGGTAGAAGGACCTCCAAAACTCCCTCCCTGGACAGAGTCCCTTATGACTCATACTGTCCCTATAGGACAGGGTGGCATGGCCCCAGTGGGTTTTTGAGCCTGTAAGTCTTTAGGAAAGCAGAAAGCCTCATCTTTCTCTTATGGAGAAGCTGGTGGTTTCGAACTGCTGGCCTTCTAGTTAGCAGCCCAGTAGGTAACCACTATGCCAGGAAGGCTAAATTAGGATAATTTCAATGAACACAAGAGAGGGTGAGTGACTACTTGAGAGATGACGTCAAGCTCGAGTTGAAATGACACAGACACTGATTGAATACAAAGGGCAGATGGAAGCAATCTGAAGAATGCGAGATTGTTCAGCACAGACACCCCGGAAGATAGTGAGCAGGTCAGTAGAAATAGGGACACAGGGGAAAGGTGGGATTATAAGAGTGTCCTTTAAAATAGATCGACATCGAGGTGCTGAAAGAGCTGTTCTGAAGATCTGCTGAAACAGGAGCCCCAGAATCAGAAGCAGGGACCTGGGCTGGAATTCAATTTGGGGAGCTGTTTTCATCTGCAGGGGTGTAGGTGAGATTGCCTAAGGACCAACTGTGGGCAGGAGGACAGAGGGTCCATCAGAGCTGGCTGCAGTGACACTTACAAATGAAACAGAAGCAGGTTCCAGGCAAGGAGCAGCCAGCAGCGGGAGGCCTCAGAGAGGCTTCTGGGAGAAATCCTGCCTGATCAAATATGAAATGAGATGGTGAGCTATGAGATCTGGTAGGTCCAGAGGGAGGGGATGATAGTGAAAAGGTGACCACAAGTGCCAACATCTTTAGATTCATTGACCAAGTGGACCTCAGAGACACTGCCAGCTTGGCTCCAGACCACTCGAATTAAGTGAACATTTCAGTAAAGCAAGTCATGGGTATTTTTTCTATCTTTGGGCTTTGGTTTTTGTTTTTTGGGGGGGAGGTGTTGCTGTTTCCCAGTACATAGAAAAGTTATTGTAGTCTATTAAGGAGTCCTGGGGGAGTAGTGGATCAAGCAATGGGCTGCGAACCTCAAAGTTGACTGTTCAACCCCCCCTGCCAATCCAGAGGAAAAGGATGAAGCTTCCAACTTCTGCAAAGATTTATAGCTGTAGAAACTCAAAGGGGAAGTTCCACTCCGTCCTATAGGGTCACAATGCATCAGAATTAACTCGGAAATCCTGAGAGAATGACTAAACAGTGACACAGAGACACCATGTCGAGCACACGCTGTTGGAAGCATGGTGCCCACAGACATGTTCAAGGTAGTGTTACAACGAATTGTTCCTTTGTCAAACTCCACACTCTCTGTGAAGCACGAGGTAACAAGGTTCACCCAGTATTCAATTTCTGGAGGGTTGATTAACATTCAATGTCAAGGTCATGCATCAAACCTACAAAATCTCAATTTCTCAGCAGGCTAGTTCAGATATCTTCACGTGAACCACCACCATCTCACAGTAATCCTGGATACCAACCCTGGCTGTCTACTTGTGTGTGTTTTTCAAATAAATGAAGGGTGCTGGGGGAACCAGATTAATTGAAAGGAAGGGACAACCGCGGTGAGTAATCCTGAAAAGGGAAGGTCGCCTCTCTGGCCACAGTAGGGTGAGTCTGAAAAGACAGACTCTTGCTATGTCCAACAATATCTTGCTCACCACCTCAGAGACGCAGACTCAACGGAGTGGCCAGCCTGGCTCCCTGTAAAGTTCTGTTTGGTGCTTCCACTCATAGTAACAATTTCTTACTAATCTGCAGTGACGGCCTTGATGCCAGAGATGTACCCGAGGCAGAAGTCTTGACAGAAGCCAGAAACCCTGATGAGTTCCCCAACCCTCCCAGCAGTGGTGAGGAAAGTACAGCGAGCTGGTCCCAGCTTGCCAACGAGGAAGACAACCCGGATGATCCCAGTAGCTTTCTGCAACTCAGCGAGAGATCCCTGAGGTACTTACTTACCTGCTCTTCAGTTGACTTCTGGGAGAAACAGGTCTCAAATCAGATCCCCCAAAAGGCATCTTACCAGTTCCTTGCAAAAGGTCCCCAAGAGAGCAAACATGAAAGCCCCCTCTGGGGTCAAGATATCTACTAGCTGTGAGGTGTGCTGAGTGCTGTCTTAATGTACAATGATGGCTTAAGTGACCTCGGCCAAGGTTAAGAGCCATCTGTGGCCACTTCTCTGCAAGCCCTACGTAGTATATTCAGGATGAGAACTTCGAGTTCCTTGAATAAGAGCTACTTGATACCTTCTTTTCTGGTTCATTTGTGTTTCAGATGCCACACAGGCTGGGTTTACGGGAGACAAGGTTTTCCACGCTGCCCTGGGTTGGTCTGGCCTGATTTGTTCTTTCCCTCACTCCCCCCCGCCCTCTATATTGTTACTCTGGAACAAAATTTATAAAACAACTGGAGCAGAACTTAGGAGAGATTCCATTTGGAGTGGGGGAGACCATCCGACGACTTGAACCAGCATGCCTCCCTCAGTGGGGTGGAGACACTAAAAGGAAGCTCCACATGTCCACCCAAAGTCATCATTGACCCTGGGCCAACAAGACCACTTCTCAGAAAGGTCATTGGGCACACGTGGCTTAGAACCATCACTTCTGAAAATTTTAGATCTTGCAACTCAGCCTCTATATATACTTAGGCAAATTTCAAAGGGTTAAACAATCTGTTGAAAACTCCAGATATGAAAGGGGAAAAGCTAAAAGATTGATATAAAGGGGCAAACAGGACCCAGCAAAGAGCATTCACTGCAGTTTATTGCGTTGCTTTCCCCCACTTCCCCCAGTGCAACATTTGAGTCATCAGCTTTCGATCTGTGAATTTATTTGATATCCCACCCCAAACCCAAGGCTAGACTTAAGATCAAGGTTGTCTGGTTGGAATCTCTTGTCTTAGGAATCTCTCCTAAGTTCTGCTCCAGTTGTTTTATAAATTTTGTTCCAGAGTAACAATATAGAGGGCGGGGGAGTGAGGGAAAGAACAAATCAAGCCAGACCAACCCAGGGCAGCGTGGAAAACCTTGTCTCCCGTAAACCCAGCCTGTGTGGCATCTGAAACACAAATGAACCAGACATGGGACTCTCTGTCCCAGGACATGATACACCAGCACTAGTTCTTTGAAAGTGTTGCTTTTAAGCGAGGCCTTGGGATAGAGAGGAGGTGGGAAGGAACACAGTGGTTCCAGTACAGAGCTTCAGAATTGGCTCGGTTCTGTTGTGTTTCAGTGAGTCAGTACCAGGCTAGTAGCTGCACCATAAATTATGCAATGCTTGACACCCCCTTCTCTGAGGTACATGAGGTATCCATTGTAGCTCTGGCCAACTTTGTACTTGTGAAATCTAAGCGTCCCATGGGAAAAATAGCAAGCCAGGTGTACATCACATGGAATGTCCTTTGGGGGAAATCCTCTAAGTAGCAAAGGGAAAACATGAGTCCACTGGTTTCTGGCAGAAACCAATAAGCCTGCTGTTATCTCCCTTGGCTAGCATTTTCAGAAGTATTTGCAGGTAGAGTAACATCCGGACTCTCCCTAGAAGGAGAAAGAAAAGATCGTGCTGATGGCTGCCCAGTAGGTATGATCTCAGGGACAAGATAGCACTGTCAGCCCCTTGAAGATTCACAGTCTGGGAAGCCCTAAGGAGCAGTTCTACTCGGCCCCATAGAGTCACTGATTCAGCATTGACTGCATGGAAGTGGGTTTAGGTCCGACACCACTGCAGAAGTTAGAAAACATCATTATTAATGCTAGTATTACTGTCATGATCATTTCATTGCTGTTTTGGCTCAAGCCTGTGAAGCATATGCCTTTGTTCTCCCCTCCTTCAGGCAGGAAGAAAAGCAATCTAGAAGTTCTAGAGTCAGGGCAAGGAACAGGTTCATTCAGCTGCAACCCTGGGCTGTGAGTCTGCCTTCCCACTGCAGATACTCTCAAGCAAAATCTCAATGTCCTTCCTACAGACTGCCTTCCTTCGCCTGGGCCCCTGCGATCCTTGTGTAGATATTTTGTTTAAAGGTAGATTCTGAGTCAGTCTATCTGGGGGTGGAAATGCAAATCCTCAGCAGAGGGCTGTAGCAGAATGAACCAGTTAGAAGCCCTGCCTAGAGTCAAAGCAATGTTCTTCTGGGGACCCAAAGAAGGCTCTCTTAGAACAGTGGGATGCCCGTGTTGTCAGTGTGGCCAGGTGGTGGAGACTGCCATTAATGTGTCGACTTTTGCTTTGTCAGCAATGGCAACAGTAGTGCCACTAGCAGTCTTGGCATTATGGACCTGGACATTTATCAGGAAACCATGCCCTCTTCACCCATGATTAAGTAAGTAGCCACTGAGATAGAGTGATTGTGAGACCACCACCCCAACCAATCTCATCTGGCCATCCATTTGGATCATTCAGGTTGTGCCCCGTCGCCGATTTCATCATGTCTGTGCAGCCATGAGCCTGTGGTTCTAGCTCATAGGAACAAGAGCTCAGGTCTCGAGTGGGCTCCCCTCTACCCCACCTGCTTTGTGGGTGTCAAATCAACTCCTTATGAGATACTTATGTCAGATAGAGGGTATTAGTACAATCAGAGGTCTAGGTCATTTGACCTCATTGGATACAAAGAAGTAAAACCCATCTAAGTTATACCAAGTCCACCCAGGAAGACTGCAGTTCAATAGAACGTAGTACTTTACCATCGAAAGCCTTTCTCTTTCTGCTCAGACACCTGGGCGTATCACTACCAAGTCTAGCTATGTGTCATGGTGAGTCTGCTCCCCACATTATGGGCACCTTCGAAATGACCAAGGACACAGAGAAATACAATATATCTGACATCAAACATGGTGCCCAAAGGGTAGGTGACATGATTTCAGGATGATTTCCAGGATTTGTGTTGACTCTAGACAAAGAAAGAACTTGATATCTATTCCTGACCCTCGTGAATTAGCTTAGCATTTGTATATTTCTGAACTTTTAGAAAAATAAACAATTGAAAAGGAAGTAAAGGACAGAAGTTGCTCCCTGAACTCTGGCCCCAATCACTGTCCATCGCTAAAGCATTTTCAATTCACCATCCACTCAGGCTTGCACCATGATTGGAAGTGGGGATGCATCCTTTGTGGCTCCGCACATCCATTGTTCAAAAATAGAGCCTGGTCTTGTGTGTGGGTTGATTCTCCTTTTCTGAAGGAGAACAAAAAATAAAGCAAAACTGCTTTGGAGTGAATGGACTTTTCTCCTCAGGAACCTTTGATGAACTGGTTTTTTCCATCTCTCTTGGTGATGTGCATCATGGAGGCCTGGTGGTGATGTGGGTTAGGCATTGAACTACTAACCACCAGGTCAGCAGTTCAAACTCACCAGTCACTTTATGGGAGAAAGATGGTCCAGTCTCAGAAACCCTGTAAAGGGTCACTATGAGTTGAAATCTACTTGATAGGCAGTGGGTTTCATGCTTGGGTTCCCTGGGGTGTGCACCCAGGACACCCACTTATATGCATGCAGGAATAGCCCATACCTCCTCTCCCCACAGATAGCATCTTGCAGGTCCAGAATAGCAGCAACTGAACCTACCATCTGTCACTTTTACTCATGTCACTCTAGTACAGAGTGAGCAGAAAAATTCAGGCCCTTGGGAATTTGGCCATTCTCCTGTAACTCATTGGGTATAAATTAAAGAGCAATTATAGAAAAGCTTGTCAACTTCAAACTCCTCTCAAAATCATAAATTAAATGGAGTCTACCAACTAGATCTTAGCAGGCACAGAGGGTTGAAGGGGGATCGCTCTATCATCATTTAAAAGGCTTTGTTTTCTGATTTCTTGGCAGGATAAAAACACAGGACAACCACTGATGCTCACTTCCTTTCACCTGTGAAGCCATATGCTCTCACTTGGGAAGTGTTTGCTGACGTCCCCCCACCCCTGTGCAAGGCTCTGCTATCAGTTCTTGCCATAAGAAACCCCTTCAAATGTTAAAAATTACCATAGCTACTGAAATACAGCACTTATAAGTCCCCACTTCCAAATTCCCCCAACCTAGTGCAACTGTCCTGATGGTGTAGTGGTTACTTTTGGGGCTGCTAACTGCAAGACAAGCAGTTCAAAGCCACCAGCTGCTACTTGCAGGGAGAGATGAGATGTTCTACTCCCCTAAAGCATTACAGTCTCAGAAACTCACAGGGACAGTTCTACCCTGCCCTCTAGGGTCACTATCGGCATAAGCTCCATGGCAATTAGACTGGTTTAGTGTTTTGTTTTGTTTTTTAATGCAACTGCCTAATAATAAGGAGAAAATAGTCAACATAACTGAGGTAGTCTGTGGTATAACTTAAGTTCGGTAGTTTGTCAATTCTCTTTTCCCTTATTTTCCAAAAATAAACCATAGTCAGATATATATTTTTCAAGATTAAAATATGTCTATATTTTCATCATAGAATAGAAAAGATATCCTCATGACAAGCTGGAAACATACAGACCTTTAAGTTATAAGTAAATACAAGAGATTTAAGGATACAGCCATAAATCAGAATTAATGACCTATAAAATCCTCTCCTTGATTGCTCGACCTGGGAGGGAATTTGCAGAAGGTGAGATTGAACAGATGATATATCTTTCAGAAACCTCCCAGCCCCTATCCCAACTAAATCCGTACATAAAGGGTATATAGCCTTTTTGTATAAGAGAATATTTATTGCAGACCCTCGGGTCCCCTTTTATAGCAACATTGGTCTTTCTTTGCCATTAGTTAGGAAAATAGTCAACAAAACTCTGTGAAAACAATACACTGAGAACCAACTCCTAAAGCTTTTACATCGATAAGACCCATCACGTCATCTTCCATTTACAGTTTCCTAAACATGACCAACCAGATACTGTTGTTTTCTCCCCCAAGTGAATTAGTGGAAGACAAGGAGATTCTTAAAGGACAGTCAGAACACATAACGGGTAAGCCACATCCCCATCCTTGTGACACACAATTGCCTGCAACCTCTCTGTGGGAAGCATAGTAAGGCTGTCATTGTGTCTGTACTCAGAACGTACCTCTGGACTGTCAGTGGGGACGGCCGGCCACCAGCGGAACCTGCTGGTGATCAACTTTGACTTGGAGCCAGAGTGCCCTGATGCTGAGCTCCGAGCTATGCTGCAGTGGATAGCGGCCTCCGAACTTGGGATTCCTACCATCTACTTTAAGAAATCTCAGGAGAACCGAATTGAAAAGGTATCCATTTTCTGTATTTAGCTAGGATCCCTCTAGAGATTTGGGTATCTGGAAGGGCAGTCAGTACCCAGTTAATCCACTTGAATTTGAATGGTTTGGTGTTGGCTTATTGCCTTGACATTGTGGCTAGACCTCTGGATCCTTCCACCTGCATAAATTTAATCATCCTTATTGTTTCTTGACCCTAACGTTTCTTGACCCTAACGTTTCTTGACCCTAAGTTTGTCTCCTCTGGTTGAAAGGTGATGACAAGTAAAATGGGGAGATAAAAAATATATTTGAAGAGTCTGTTATATTTTTTCAGAGCATCTTACTCTGTAGTCAACCTTTTCATAGCAGCCATTTAAGTAAAAGAAGGAAGCAAAGACCTGAACTATACAAGAAACCAGGGTGAGACCACTCATGTTCAAAGCAAGCTGTGGCTTGGTGCTAGCAGAGATATTGCTTAATTCTGTACCGGAACATATTTGTACAAAGAAGGTTTTCCCCTTATAGTTCCCACTTACCAGAAACAGAAAATTGATGGAAAAAACTCTTGGCCAATGTCAGAATGAGTAGCATCCATTATTCTCATTCTATAGCTCTAAGATCACCTCTACCTGTGACAGCATCTCAATTATTCAGTCTCAATCTGAGATTGAGGCATGCCTACTGATTGCCAATATCTTCAACCTCAATTTTCCATCATTTGAAAACGTACGGCCTTCTAAAATTTTCAACTTGATCATCCTATTGCCATATGCATATTCCACTGCTGTGCACCAAGTTATACTTCGCACCTTAAAACAACGACCAAATGTACTGTCCTTCGGGTGGGGACATCTGGGTTCTCAACCAAGGGTCTCACGAGGCAGAAATCAAGATGGAACCTGCGTGGGCTCCTATCTGGGGAAGAATCTGCTTCCAACTCTCTTCAGATTGTTATCTTTGGTCAGGATCCCGGGCTCTTCTGAGGCCCTGGTCACGTTCTGCAAACGGGACCCAACATCAGCTGGTTGAACAACGTCCTCAGATGAAATGACTGTCACACACTCTGAAGCTTGAGGTCCACCTTGCTTCAAAACAACCAAGTGCCAAACCTCCCATTGGCCATAAATGATATGAAACGCTAAGCCAACGGTTGCTGATAATCCTGACGCCCAATAATTTAGAAGAGTTTATATCTTTCATTCATCGTGACCTTGATATCAGTTAAAGTTGATTTATTTAATTTGAGGTAAAAACAAAATCAACAAATCAGGAGAACAATCCAAAGCCCCTATGGAAGAAGCACACCAGCCTGCGGGATCACGGGGTGTCGAAGGGATCAGGGATCAGGCATCAAAGAACAAAAAATCATATCATTGCGAATGAGGGGGAGTGCAGATTGGGGACCCAAAGCCCATCTGTAGGCAACAGGACATCCCCTTACAGAAGGGTCACGGGGAGGAGATGAGCCAGTCAGGGTGCAGTGTAGCAATGATGAAACACACAACTTTCCTCTAGTTCCTAAATGCTTCCTCCCCACCCTGCCCACTATCATGATCCCAATTCTACCTTACAAATCTGGCTAGACCAGAGGATGTACACTGGTACAGATAGGAACTGGAAGCACAGGGAATCCAGGGCAGATGATCCCTTCAGGACCAGTTCTGAGAGAGGTGATACCAGGAGGGTAGAGGGAGGGTGGGGGGAAAAGGGGGAACCAATTACAAGGATCTACATATAACCTTCTCCCTGGGGGAAGGATGGCAGAGAAGTGGGTGAAGGGCATCATCGGATGTTGTAAAATATGACATAATAATAATTTATAAATTATCAGGGGTTAATGAGGAAGGGGGAAGCGGGGAACGAGGGGAAAAATGAGAAGCTGATACCAAGGGCTCAAGTAGAGAGCAAATGTTTGGAAAGTGATGAGGGCAACAAATGTGCAAATGTGCTTGACTTGGTGGATGGATGTATGGATTGTGATAGGAGTTGTACAAGCCCCCAATAAAATAACTTTAAAAAAAAATCAGGAAAGCAATGAATCTACAACTTTATAAAGACACCCAAGTTGCTCATTGTCCTACTTTCCAGATGCAAACCATCCCCAACCTCCAACTCCTTTTTCTTCTGTTTAAATTCCATGAGCTTCGGGGAGCCATTACCTGAGGGGCTGCTAAGGGAACAGTGGAGCCACTAGCCACTTTGCTGAGGAAACATGAGTCAGCCAGCATCCCTCAAAATGTACGCAGCCTCGGAACCCCTAGAGAGCCCTTCTCCTTTGTTTGTAGGTTAGCTCTGAGTCACAACTGTCAGGAAGCGGAGATGGGCTGAAAACTGCACTCACATGAATGGAGTGTCCGTTTGTCTGTCAGCCCGCACCAGGACTTGCATTTTGCTCAGAGATAATGCATAGAACAGAATGTACCCAGAGAGAAAATGAGCCAGGGGTGCTCCTTTGTCCCAGAAACGGAGTATAGAAAAGAAGCGGCCTCTTGTCCCTTTTTGTGTTCCATTCCACAGGCAAAGGGGTAGACATTGAGAAAAAAAGATGTTGATATTATGGAGGATTGACTTAACCGCACACCCACACACACACACACACACACACAAACATCTCATTTTCAAAGAAGTACATCTAAAAAGAAGGAAAAATAAAGACAACTGGATTCCAAGGTTCATTATTTATGAATATAAGAAACGATCTTCGACCCTGTCCTTTAGCCATGATTTCTAAACTTAGTCGCACATTCGAGTCACCTGGGGAGTTTTTACACCAGCACCCTCACCTGGTGATCTAACCAATTATTGTAACATCTCTTCTGGGGATGGAGACCCAGGCATCAGCGCTCCCTGGTGCTTCAGAGAATCGCAAAGATTGAGGAGCGTGGCCTTGTGGGCCAGAAAGATTTGCCAGGAACAGTGTAGAACCTGATGGGCTTGTTTGTGCTTCTGAAATCTAATTCTCTGTGGCACAAAAGAAGGCAGCTGCTCTCAGAAACCCAAGTTGACTGGGTCTCCCAAACCACATACCTTGAAACAATTCCCACGGACCCCATCGTCAGACTGTCAACAATTCATCAAAGAAGTAAAATACTTACCTGACAACATGAAAGCCGCCAAGTATGGTGGCAACCTGGTGGCGTAGTGGGCCGCAAGTTAGGCTGCTAACTAACCACAAGGTCAGCGATTCGAAACCAGAACCCACCAGCCCTTCTAGGGGAGAGAAATGAGGGTTTCTACCCTCAGAAAGAGTTAAAGTTACAGAAAGCTATGGAGATCATTCTATTCTGTCCTGCAGGGTCACTGTGAGTCAGAATGGACTATAGATGGTAGTGAGGTTTGGTTGTTGTTTGTGGGGAAGATTTATTATTATTATTATTCCTTTCAAATAAGCCGACCAGTGATATGGTGGTGGTTGTGGTGGTGACGCACTTTACAATCGATTCTGACCGATAGCAACCCCCTGTGCCGGAGAAGCACAGGTCCAGAGAGTTTGCTAGGTTGTCGATCTTTCCAGAAAGAAGCAGAGCAGCACGTCTTTCCTCCTGTGTGGGAGCTAGCGAGTTCGAACCTCTTATCTTTCTGGTTAGCAGCCAAGTGATTCCTGAAACATGATTCATAAAACGTAAGTTCGTCTTGCTTCCTCCAAATTACTCTCTGTGCAGAGAAACCTGATTGCTCTCGATTTGTGAAATGGCAGGAAGTGAACTTGTTGTGATTCTTATATTTGCAATGCCCTGAAATGAAAAACCCCAGAACCTTGATAATGCTCTAGCTCATTAAGAAAATACCAAGGCGATCACAGGACCCACGGAGGCCAGCTGTGAAGAGTTGCAGCTGAAAGGGGCCATTGTCTGCAGTAATGAGCCGGAAATGTCCCTTTCTGGCCGCTTCACAATTTCAGCTTCATTTTTGTGACATTTCCCCCCCTGATTTTTAATGAATGGAGGAGAGAAGGTTCAAGCCCCTCCTGGTCACAAGCTCCGCAGATGTTTCAAGGACTCAGAGTCTGAGATGAAGTCATGGCAGCCTCTGAGCATGCTGTCTTGACTGGGGCTAGAGCACTGGTTTCAGTCTGCTTTCTCCAGTATCTGCCTGGACTTGGAGACAATGAGACAGATGCTGACTGCCCATGCATGGTTTCCTCTGCACTGTAGTTGCTAGCTAACTACCTAGATGATGGATGGATGGGTGGGTGGGTGGATGGATGGATGGATGGATGGATGGATGGATGGATGGATGGATAGATAGATAGATAGATAGATAGATAGATAGATAGATAGATAGATAGATAGATGATAAATAGATAGATAATAGAGCATATGTATATACGCATGTATATATACATATATATTCTGATGAAGCCAACACAAGGCAAACAAGTACAATAATATATATATTTAGAATCCCTTGGTCATGCAAATGGTTGATGCACTTGGCTGCTAAGCAAAAGGCTGGAGGTTCAAATCCATTCAGAGATGACCTACTTTGCAAAGACCAGCCATTGAAAACCTTGTGGAGTGCAGTTCTATTCTGATCCACATCGAATTGCCAGGGTCACAAAATGTCTCCACAAAACTGGTCCTGATGGCCTCCTTTCAGCCTGCTTCTAACCATGACCTCCAACCATTTTTGTGACGTATGTTTGCAGCAGACAAGTGCTGAGCTGACTGCTGCAAAATGTGCGTGTAGTTGTAGTAATAGGAGTGGTAGTTATTGTTGTTGAGTGCCACCGAATCCTCTCGGACGCATCGAGACCCTAGGTGAAATAGAAAAAAACACCGCCCACTGGCTCTCAAACATAAGAAGCTGCCACAAACATATGCAGCTTTAATGTTTAATTTTGAATTGGGTCTGTGGAAATCCATTGTCAACATTCTAAGAATGAAGACTTCATCCAGGTCCATGCTCCCTGATGCTGGGTGTTGATCTGTAGATCAAAACCGTAACAACTTTGAAGGTCTAGTTGGCTCCCTTTGATCCTTCATATCTTCATTCAACAATCCCATTTGGAGTACCTATTACGTGTCAGCACAAAATATCAATGGACAGTCACCACACCCCTCCCCTGGAAGTCGATGTCATTACCATCTGCCTGCCCTTTCATCTGGCTCCCCGCTCACATCATCTTAAAATGCTTTGAGGGTCTGCGTATGTTTTCAGGTGTGAAAAGGTACGTATTTTGACTTCTAGACAATTGCTTTCTTCTGAGTACGCCAACCCAAGGCGAACAAGAACCAGGGGCCCGGAGTGCTCTGACTGCACATAGTGGGTGTAGTCACAGCTGGGAGAAGGACCGTAATTCAACAGTAGTTCTCTCAGAGGCAATCTCTCAGTCACTGAAATGAATTAACACGAATTAGGGGAGATGATCAAGGCTGGGCGTGGGGGTTGATTAGCATCCCTGTGGCAGGTGGAGCTCAAAAGTCAGAGTGCACAGAGCGAGCCAAGTACAAAGCCCTGCACCCAGAGGGAGACATTGAAGAGAAATAATAACTAAACTTCAGCTCTTTTCTGTCTAATAAATAGGATGTTCATTCTCAAAAAACAGCATCAGATGCCCAATCTCTTCTACCTCCTGGTGCCCTGTGTGCATATCAATGTCATATTCACCTTGCACCCGAATGAGGTAGCCTAAAAGGAGATAGGATTGCAGTATTAAAATACCATGGATTCCAAGATCAACTTTTCATCTCTCAAGTCCTCTGTACTTTAGGGTGTGTGTGGTGGGGGTGGGGGGGCGGGGATAATGCCTACTTCACAAGCTTTTTGGCAGAAAGGAATGAGATTGGATTCCCGTCGTTGCTAAGTTTCTTTGAAAACACTTGGCCAGAGCATCTGAGTGACCCTCACACTGGTACTCATCATCACCCCGTTCCATCCAGAGAGCTCTCTCTCAGGATTCGCCCATTTCCCGGCTCTCCACACGCACAATACACTTGCAGCCCAGAACTTGCTAAGTGGTGGCCCATCGACTCCATGACCAGTAGCCAGGGGACCTATCTGGGGGGCTATACAGTCTTTCCTTTTCTGGTTGCTGTGGAAGGACAACCTTTTCATTCTTGTAAAAGTGCCTGCAGCACCGTAACCAGTTCAACATGTTTGCATGTATAATTCAGTGATGCTCATTAGCTTAATCAGACTGTACAACCATCAATCATCTATTGCCAAGTGTTCCACCAGCAAACACTTCCTAAACGATGATCTCCCCTCGCCCCACAAAACCACCTCTCTCCGTGCTTCAGCTCAGCAGGTTGTGGGAAAGAGAAAGCTTGTCTGAATGAGTGAGGAATGAATCCATTACCCCAACTGAAAGTTTAGCATTTGACTCATTTGGGATTTGTTCATTTGCCAGGGGTATGTTTAGATTCCTGTGGCTGTGCACATATCCTATGAGAAATGATCTGAGATACAGGTGGAGGGAACTGGGGACATTGTTTTATAGACCCACCAAAGGAGTCCAACCCGGGAACCAGCTGACCTGAGGATGTATTTCAAATATCTGAAAGACTGACCCTTAAGAGGAGAATTGGCATTGTTCCATCTGGCACCCTCCAGTTCGTACAAGGGGACCACCAGGAGGGTGGTGCTGGGAGGATGGTCTACACCTGCATGGTCTGTATCTGAGCTGCCTCGGGAGAAGCCATCGGCCCAGAACAGTCTCATAGAAGGAGACTGAGAATTTTGTCTTTCTCTCTCCCAGTTCTTTGACTTTACCAGAGAATCTTCCTCTCTGTCCTGGGCCCACTGTAATGTTTTTTGTCTCTTGCTAGTGCACTGCCACCTAGCCAACCGCACTTCTGTGTTTGTCCCCATCCTGGAGGACATGGGGTCTCCTTTGACTGCCACACAAGAGGGGCACATGGGGAACATCTGCCATGCACTGGTTGCAAAGGGGGGCCCACTGTCCTTAGGAGACTAGTGCCCACTAGTGAATCTGATCCCACTCGATCGCTTCTCCATCTGAGTGAAGCGTGAGCCCGTGCCTTGTCAGAGGGCATGGTATATGTCTTTGGTTGATGATCTCAACCAATTCAGTGGAAAGAAGGGTCCATCTAATAATCTGAGCTAGCTACAAAAGGAACTAATTCATTCTGGACAACAGGTCCCCATCATAGAGAGAGCTACAGACTAGAGAGCTCTGGGCAGGAAAATTGAAACAGGATGAAGGCTTTAGGAAAATAATTCATTGAGATCTTTCTACTCGAGCCTTTGGTATCAGCTCTTCGGGAAATGTTTTGAGAATGATGATGGCAGCAAATGTACAAATATGCTTGACACAATGGATGGATGGATGGATTGTGATAAGAGTTGTACGAGCCCCCAATAAAATGATTTTTTTTTAAAAAAAGGTCTTTGAAAGAACCTCTGTGATCAACATCCTAACTCTCTGCTCTATTTCAGTTTCTAGATGTTGTGCGTCTGGTCCATCTGAAGTCCTGGAAAGTGGGCGATATTTTCCATGCAGTTGTCCAGTACTGCAAAATGCGTGAGGAGAGGCAGGACGGGGCCCCAAGTCTCTTTGATTGGCTCTTGGAACTGGGATAAGGCAAGCTCGAACTGCACAGCCTCCCTTTCCTTCCCTCCAGCTTAGGTCCCAGTGGTTTGTAAAATTCTCCAGACTCTCTCAAAACATCGCATCCTGCTAGCAGAGCTGTAAAAAAATCTGCTGCTCAAGTTTACTGCACAGGGAAGAAATCAGGGGGGAAATTGAACACAGCGCTGCACAATCCCACCAGTGGATGAGTTCAATCGAGCTTGCATTCAAATGGCTGGAACCACAGTGGCTCCTAACTTAGGAAGCTCATACCCAGGCCCAAACTCCAGGAAAGTGGTCCTCGTGTACGTTTAATAATCTGACATGATATGTCCTGTCTCCAGTGATGTGGATCACCTGGGGAAAAGACTCACTGGCCAAGACTGTTTTGAAACCAAGGCTCTAACTTTTGTTTTCCTGGTTTGAGTGGGTGAAGAGGCTACCGACGCATTAAGATACAGGTGAGACATTTCAAGGACTTTTCTGTAAAAGATTTCCAGTCAACCAGTCTCAGTAGATATCTACAGAAGTACAAGAATATACCACTGAACTCTACTGAGGTGATTCCAAGTCTCACTGCAAGCCACAGATAAATGTTCCCTCTTCTCAACAATATTGGAACTCCAGGCTGCCCAGAACACCACCACTCTTCAGCTGAGGAAGAGGAAGATTGCAGAGTGTCTGTTTTTCATCACTATATGACGTTAGTAACATGATTACAGAATTCCTACCATGTGGGAAAGCTTTCTTTATATTTTCAAAAGTCTTTTGAGATAAAATATGTGTGTTAAATTATATGAAATGCAAGCTTAGACTTTATTTTTATTATAAAGTATGAAGAGATTGACATTTAAATAATATATTGAGTTAGCTTAGAGACAACCTATAAAGAGATTGTTATCTTCGGTCATATATTGACATTTGATTGCAGTGGTTGGTTCGATTGTGAAGGTGTTGGCATGGCTGCTACGATGATATTTATAATGGCTGGGGCAGGGTAATAACTTTGAGGTTGACATGACCAGTTGGGATCATACTCTAAATGGTCTCCTTCCTGACTCAAAGAGATTGGAATGAATTGGAGGGAAAGAAAACATTATCATGTTTTCAGTGTTTGAGTAAAAGAAATTTACTGTTTTGAAAATAAAATATATCTCTCACCCACCCAAGTTGTCTGTCCTTTCAATGGAATGAGCTGCACTGGCTTCTTTGTTCATGCTCAAAGTAGATGTTTATTGACAATTTCCTGAAGCACTATGCTTTTACATTGTATTTTTCAATTGTGATGTGATTTAAAATGTGAAAAGGGGTCTCACACTATCAGTGTTGGCCTGAGCTATTCATCCTCATCTGGAAATTTCAGAGTAGGTTCTTTGTGAGCCAAGCTTTTTTCCCTGGAGATCTTTCTGCTCATTAATCATTTCTTGCACACATAGACCAATTCAGGTTAAATTTTTAATTTGATGCATTCACCAAAGGTCAACCTTTAGAAGAGTCTACTCACCACCTCAAACTGAAAGTTCTTTGTGCTACAAAATGCAAAAGGATATCTTTATCTTTTAAACAATTCTGGATAATCTTGTGTAGACTTCTTTTGTGTTCAAATAAATGTTTACTTATCCTACAAAGCACAAATTATAATACTGGATTGTATAACTTGTGATGAACTTATGTTGTACCTAATGTTGCAAACGAATCAATAAATGTATGTTGCCTAATGATTGATCTTTTTCCTTCAAGGCCTATAAATATCATGCAGAGACACCAAAATCCGTGGTGGCTTGATCCTTAGACAAGTTTTGCAGTTCTGATCTACAATTTTTGAATAAGTAAAGGGTCACTAATTAGATTTTCTAGGATATTTGAGAAAATCAGAATTTTCCAGTGTCCATCCTGTCAGCATTTAGGCAATGGCCATTCATTTTTACAATGTCCTCTGCATTACAGGATGATTAGCATCATTCCGAACCTCTACATACTAGATGCCTTTCTCTCAATCATGATAAAAATATCTTTCAACAAAATCAAATGTGCCCTGGGGATTAAAAGCACTAGTATGTAACTATCAGTGTGTGTTAGTCTGGGTACTTTAGAGAAACAAATCCACAGAAACTCATGTATAAGAGAGAGATTTATATAAAGATTAAGTGCACATCAAGAAAACATCCCAACCCAGTGCTGCCCAAGCCCACAAGTCCAACATTAACCCATATGTCCGACACCAATCCACAAAGTCCTCCTCCATCTCACAAAACACACACTGTGACAACAACTGCGGGAGAAAGCCGAATCAGTGAATGTGTAAGCATCTCAACGGTGGCAGGGGTCTCCACACTGCTGCTCCAGCACCCAGGGCTGCATCAGAGTAGGTCCATGCAGCTTCTCCTTAGGGATGTCTTGCAGGAAGTGAGCCTTGCCAGCTGAAGTAGGGAACTGGCCAAGGCAGCTGCACCCTGGTCCGACCATCACAAAGCAAGAGACCAGAGAACTACAAAGGCGAGGCTCACTGAGCCATTTATCCCTCCGCCCTTCAATTAACCCCACATGTGTTAATCAGCCAGGTTGGCACAATAAACTATACCTCACAATGTAAACAGTGCTTTGAGGAGACAGGATCTGAGGATTTGTATGGTGTTCAGGTTAAAAAGGAGGACCCTGCATCCTCCAGTCTAAAAAAAAAAATGACAGGAAAAAACAAAGGGCTGGATAGCCCTTGTCTGCCAACCAAATTTAGTGACTACTAATGTTGAACAGTATAGTAGGAACCTGAAATAAAGATTTGACTTACACACAGATTTGGGATTCAAGAGTTAGAGACAAAGAGGAAGGAACAGTAGTTGAAAAACATGGCCTTGCTGACAGACAAAAACCTGGAAATGGCACCATGGGATTTTGCAAAACCAATGACTTGTTCCTAACACATTCCTTTTCCCAACAACACAAACTGACTAGACATGTGGAATTCTCCAGATGGAATTCACAAAAATAAAATGGATTACCTCTGTGGGAAGAGATGATGGAAAAGCTCAGTATCAGCAGCTAAACACGGGCCAGGGGCTGACTATAAAACAGACCACCAATTGTTCATACATAAGTTCAGACTGAGGCTGAAGACAATTCAGACAGGGGAGAGACATCCAAGTCTAACAAGACAATATAGCAATTACTCGAATACAGTCGCATGAATTACCACAGGAAGGAACATCAGAGAGGGAGAATGCTTACTGTTTGATGACAATCTGGGGCCACTTCTAAGGGAAAAGCTTTGGTGATCAGCCTTTTAGGTGTCGTGAAGTTAGTTAACAATGGGATGAAATTAGTGGGGACTCCAAAGGTCTAGAAAGAAGAGACAACAAATGTGAGGATGGCAGTCTGAGACACTACTAGGAGCCTGATGTAACCGGAAGCCAGGCTGTGAATTGAGGAAGGCCCTGGACTTGAGGCTGGGAAGGGAAATTGAAGCTGCATTTTCAAAGACTGAACTGCTACTCAGGGACTCGCAGGTGTATTCTGTGGGCAGGAAGGCTTTTAAGCAACAGAGCTACAAGCCCAGATCTGCATATTAGAGAAATGACATCAGCAAAGGTATGGGGGTCCCACTATAATGTTTTCTCTTACAAATGGAAAAATAATCCGTTACAAGTAAAGGGATCCTCATGGCTGTAGGATTTGTTTTTCGATCTCTTCTATCATGGCAAGTGGAATGATATGGATTGTGCTCCCCCACTCTAAGCTTCTTGGGGATGAAACACATCTGAATCATCTGTAAGTTCTGCCATATATCCCAGTACACTTTCTTATCCAGAGTAGATGTCAAATAGGTCTCGGGACGACTGAGATTTCGACTTACATTTGATGATGCTTATTCATGAGTCCTAGAAGCACAATTTGATTTTGTAATTCTCTTGGCTTCCCAGAGACTGGCACCTCCTACAAAGCTGCTCAGGACATCTTATGAAACTACCTTCAGGCTTGTGTAAATATAGCCTTTTATGAGCATTTGCCTCTGTATTAGTCTGGGAACTTTGAAGAAACAAATCCACAGCAACTCATGTATAAGAGAGAGTTTTATGTAAAGAAAATGTGCATCACGAAAACATCCCAACCCAATGCTGCCCAATCCCACAAGTCCAACATTAACCCATTAACCCAACACCAGTCCACAAAGTCCTCCACCTCACAAAACAGAGGCAATGATGCCGACTGCAGGAGGAAAGCTGAGTCACCACCCATTTATCCCTCTGCCTTTCAATTAGCCCCACATGTGATTACCAGCCAGGTTGGCACAATTAACTAACTCAACCTCTTATTTTAGTTATGTACATTTTTTTAGTTTTGCCCAATTTTTAACCAATCACACCACCAGGGCTGCAATCTAACTGCTAGAAATAATATTTTTGGGTAGTGCTTCTTGACTCCTGCATTTCAGACAAGCAGATGTCTGGCCATCTGGGAGCCTACATGACAAGCACGGACCCTCAGACAGCTGTGTCTCTTGTCTTCTTGCCCAAACACAACACAGAGGCAGAACCTGTTTTCAAGAGCCATTGTGATGAGCAGTAGAAACACTCTGCCCTGATTAAAAAGAAACAGTCTTCCTCAGCCTTCTCTGTTCCATGAACCATAAAAACCCCAAAGTGCTCCTTTCGTCTGCTCTACCCAATTGCACACTGTGTGCTGTACAAGTCTCAAATTGCATGATCTCTACCATTGTTCTAACTTTATTTTGACTCTTAGGAATTACTCAACCTCTGGGGTCTTTATAGAAGTAGCCCTCGCGGCCTTTCTCCTATCTGTGGTGGGTTTGAAACTTCAACCTTTAAGGTAGCATCTGATGCTGAACCACCTGCACCTCTCAGGTGCCATCTCTTTCCTGAAAAGTGTCCCTTTAAAGTTCCATATTTATATCCACCCTCCCATTCTCCTTTTCTGTTGAGGCCGCTCTCTCCCAGGTCTTCCCCTTCTGTCATTACCAACATGTATCTCTTTCCTTTGGAAGATTTCTACCACTCTAATGTCCAATTATCACTATGTTCTGCACATTTTAGACCCTGTTTGTGACAGGGACTTCTGAATTCTACCGTGACGCTCCCAACACCACAAAACCCAGGTGCAAACCGTGATGACTTGGGTCCAAGTCTTTCTTCACAACAGACGGTCAGGCAGTCCCCCTCACAAACAGCAGCCTCAGGCACAGATGAAGTAGGAACAAGAGTTTCTCGCCTTGCAGAGGGAAAGAGAATGAGTCACCAGCTATTGGAACAGAATGAAGGTGGGTGAGACCAAGGGGACCTTCTCCTTTCCGGGAATTGGATTCCACTCCTGCTGGGTATGCGCTATTTGGGAAGGTTACTCCAGCCTGCTATTTCAAGCACCTTGACAATTACTTTAAACCAAGTGATATTTTTAATGAAAAAGGCAGTAGGCCACATGCTGGCCTTTTGTGAAAGCCATGAGGATGTCTGATAAAATCTCACTTAAAAATAATCTATAGATCTCTTTCTTCGTGGGTTTCTTCTTTTAAAAGAGAGCAAGGGAGTAGATGCCAAAGCTGTGGCTTTGAGTCCCAGTTGAGAGTGTCCTTAAGCATGTTACTCAATGTGTCTGAAGTTGAGCATTTTTCTTTGTGTCTTTTTTATATGACAAATGGAGCATATGGATGGCCTGATTTATATATAAATTCACTTCATTTTATATATAAATTCACTTCCAAATGGAATGGCCTACAAATGGCTGTTTGGTGAAAACATATATATCTCAAACCCACCACCATCAAGCAGATGCTGACTCATAGCAACTCCATAGGACAGAGTAGAACTGCCTCCATGGGGCTTCCGAGGCTGCACATCTCTATGGGGACAGTCTGCTCCCCTTGGTTTGGTGAAGGGTCAGGGAAGGTGATATAAGGCGGAGACTGGTGTCAGGAAACATGGAGATAGACCACATCTGCCGTTGAACATCAAAGCCATCGCTTGGTGGATATTTCCTCAGGGCCTGAGGTGCAATGCACGGGATTGAATTTTGAACAACACATGCTAGTCTTACAGGTGACCTTGTCCTCCCCCATCATACCTCGCAGGCAGCATATTCCTCCCTCTCTCAATTATACGCCAGCAAGTCCCCCAGGGTGTCTCCCTTTGCCCCTGGCTTTGCCGCCACATCCAGTTGTGCTGGCACAAGACACACATTGGCCTGTACCACCCAAGGTCATCTTTTAGCATGTCAAGGGCACTGAGTGCTATCCTCCTCCGAACTCTCATGACCAGTGGGTAAACCACACTTAAAAGTAAATGCGATCTCATTGTGATTAGAAAAACGTGATTAGAATTGAAGACCCAGAAATACACCCCAGGACCAACTGTTACCTGATCTTTGATGGATGACTACAACACACTACGTGGGGCAGAGACAGCCTTTTCAATAAATGATGTTGAAAAAATTGGACTCCACCTGAAAAAGAATGAAACAGGGCCCAAACCTCACAACATGTACAAAAAACAAACTCAAGAGTGATCAAAGACCTAAATATAAGCCTTAGAATGATAAATACCATCAAAGAAGAAATAGGGGCAAACGTAAGGGCCCTGATTCAAGGCATAAACATGAGCAAACATAATGAAAAGTACCCACACTATGAAAGACATAACTGAGGACAGGCTCCTTCTGATAGACAACATTCATGCACAGCAAAAGACTTCATCAAGAAAGCTGATGGTGC